ATTAGTTTGGCATTTCGCAAGTTTTCACTTCTAATAACACAAATGTATGACTTTCACTGTGGTTCTGGTATACCTAAGTAATTTTTCTGTGTATTTCCGGTGTTACCAGACAGTTAACTATAGCTGTATAAGGTAAAATGCACCGCACACCTCAGTTGATAATTGTCAAATGTTTACGTCTTGCAGCCATGGCCGGCGTCACATTCACTGTCAAAAATTTCGGACAATCAATGGTTCTTTCTGCTTTTTCTCATTGTGGCTTGGAAAATACGGGTCAAGTTATAATGTAAATATTCAAGTAATATATGAGTGGATGTACACACACACACACACACTTTAAATATGGGCATAATGATCTATTTTAATGAGCTTATAAATATATCAAAATCTTTATATCCTATTTACATTGAAACAATAAATTTTGACTAAAAAAAAAAAATATATTTTCAAGCCAATATTCTTTTATTGTTAATAGGTATAACTAATGTTCTAAATAAAAAGCTAAAGTTGAGTTGTTTAGCGTAATTGTGATTTTTAATATTTATAACAAAAGCTGCGCCTTATTGGCATTGCCGTTGCGTTTTGTTTTTGTGGAAAATCTCAGGAATCTATTTTTTCTTCGACCAAGGTAGAGTCATATACTAGCTGCTCTATATAATTGACGAAGGCAGCCACCCCTTCAAGTACGTGGTTGAGGTGTCATTCGTAGCACCTGTAGTACAAGAGGGCGATGAGGTATGTGATTGGGCTTCATGGCCCGGTGTCACGTGCTGAGATTGCACCGTGCTGAAAACGCCGAAAATGTTCTGGACATACACTCTTTGATCAGAACCTAAACTAACTAGACGAGTGACTCAGGTGAGGGATAAAGCCTCAAGTAAACATGGCGGGAACCTGCGGATAGCCAATGGACGAGTTTTAACTCAAAATAATTTCAACAATAAATACGGCCAGGTCTAATCACATCACTTGTTGTTCTATCTGTGACTTAAATTAGTCATAAAAAGTATTCCGATTCTGGATCCGACATAAATAAAAGGAAGAATCTGAAAAATCATTAAGAAATGGGTAAAGAAAGATTTTTTTCATATAAAACGTAGTCGATTACTTTCACGAAGCTATAATATATAATTATGTTGTACGGAATTTTTATTATTGAAAATGGGATTTTTCATCATGGAAATGGGGAAGTTCATTGTAGAAAAAAAAGGAACCTTAAAAATCGAAAACGCAACATTTGCCATCATAGAAAACGGAAAGGTGAAGACAAGGGGATAGGGGTGCAAGGACCGAGGGGGGGAGTTGGATGGAGTCGGAATGAAACAGGAAGGAGTTGGAAGAAGAGGGGGAGGAGTCAGTGGCGTTTCTAGCCTTCGGAAAGTGGGGGGGGCCACTTTGGGGCCAAGGTAAATGTTGGGGGGCGGGAGGCGGGGGCAAAACCAAACCTGTGTACAACTTGCAAGATGCAGTTTTTGGCATTATTATTACACCAATTTGATTGACAAATGACGCCAGCCTAAAATAATCAGCATACGGCGGTATAATGGCAACGCTCTTATTCCACTAATCATGATTCATTGGAGTATTGACACACTTGAACATATCTCTAAAACTGTATTATTGCTCACATAGTCACATAAAGGGCGGGTGTACCACATAACAAACATTGAAAAATATAGCAGTGTCTTTACAATGTCTGTACATACATCAGCGAAAAAATGAATTATCTCACGCTTCACACATCATGGAGACAACGTTTACGTTTTCAGACATGGGCACCGCATGCAACTGTTACATTATACCCAATGGCAAATGGCAAGGGTGCGGTTTCAGTTCACACGGTACAATTTTGAGAATAAAAAGTGGGGGGGCCAGCCCAAAATCTGAGGGAGCCATGGCCCCCCCGTAGAATCGCCCCTGGGAGGAGTAGTAGTAGGGAGAGGGGTGGAAGGAGAGGGAGTGGGGTGGAAGGAGAGGGAGAGGGGTGGAAGGAGAGGGAGAGGGGTGGATGGAGAGGGACAGGAGGTGGGAGGAGAGGGGAATGGGTGAAAAGAGAGGGGTGGAAGGAAAGGAGCTAGGACGAGTGGGGGAAGGGTGTGGGTATGGAGTGCATACAGGAAGGGTGTGGCTATGTAGGGTGTGGGTATGGAGGGGTGTGGGTATAGAGGTCTGTGGGTATAGAGGTCTGTGGGTATGGAGGTCTGTGGGTATGGAGGGCATGGGTATGAAAGGCACTACTCAGTCGAATGTATATATATATATATGCTGATAACCACAAGGAAAGAAGAAAACACGAAGTTCCCAAGCGCTTTTGTGTAATTCACATCTTCAGGGGTGAGTACAGAGTCTGTACTCACCCCTGAAGATGCGAATTACACGAAAGCGCTTGGGAACTTCGTGTTTTCTTCTTTCCTTATGGTTATCAGTATATACCTAGATCACGCGCACCTACAGTGATTTACTTGCATAAATGCATATATATATATATATATATATATATATATATATAGGCGGTCCTCAGGTTATGAAAGGGTTCCGTTCCTGAGTACAATTCTTAACTTGGAAATGTACGTAAGTTGTTCCGAACCTATGTGCACTATATCATAACCTAAGTCCTCAAGTCCTTTTATACACCTCGAATCATTTAATTTACGAAAAAAATAAATTGAATGACAAAATAGAGTAAAGTAAAAATTAAAGTTTAACACTTACATGTGGGGCTGGCTTGCATGTAGGGATGGGCATTTGTAGGAGTGACAAGAGGCTTTATTGGGATGGTTGAACTGAAACTTTCATCTTTTTGTCATAAATCTCTCTGCAGCATCATAGATATACAGTACTACCTCTATGAATCTTGCTGTGTTGGTATCTTGCTGTTTAAATTTAAACAATCCTTCAATAAGACAGAAACCATCTGTTATTTCTTTTGTAATGAATCCCTTTGGTCCTGGAGTTTCAACTTCGATTTTGTCACCCATTGCCCATCTGTAGTATGAGAGAGGCAGTTCCATGTGTTCTAATCTCTCTGGGTTGCTGAGGTTCCATAGAGCAGGCACCAGTCTGGTGGCCCTCCTTTGGACATTTTCAATCAATTGAGTCTCTAGCACACTTCAGGAAACAGATGGGGTGACAGTACTCCAGACGGGGAAACGCATCCGCTCTTGAAGATCGTGACAAGCAACGGACCATCCAGATATCTAAATGACGTTCTTATAAGACCTACTAGTTTCGTTGCCTGGTTCACCTTCTTCTCATAATGTCCCGAGAACTTAAATTTCTTGTCGACATACACACCCAGATCCTATTCACATTGTCTCAATTAATGTAGTTTCTTCGTCCTGTTGGGACATGTGACACACCTCCTTACTGTTGGCATGACCCAGGTGCATCCTCTTGCACATCGTGACATTGAATCTTGGAAGCCATTTCTTCGACCATTCTTGAAGCTCATAGAGATCTTTCTGCAGCTGTTCACAGTCTGTTTGGTTCTTAATTTCCCTAAATAACTTGGCATCGTCTGCAAACATTTGTATGGAGGAGTGTACAGCTTTTGGCATATTATTTATGAAGCAAACAAACAACAACAGGCCCAATACACTGTCCTGTGGTACCCCGCTTGTCACAGGTAAACCTTGTCTAGTACAAGTTGCATGCGACGTTCAGCCACTGACATGCAGGAAGCTGCATACCAAATACCAAGTCGTCTACATATAATGAGATTGATACACCACCTGGAACATGGAGGCAAAGTTTTATAGCTGGATGCCCTTCCTAAAGCCAACCCACAGAATGGGAACAGCTGGCAAGGCAGAGTTGCAACTCCTTGAGGGAATCAAAGACTACCTGCCTATCCAAGTCTGCAATTGCATTTTTGGTAATGTACTTAACCCCTACACTATGACCCTGTACACAAGGTGTTAACAACTCGCATGTACCTGAACCACCTACTTTCAACTACATTAATATTGAAGACTTCCCCCCCAAAAAAACTGCGTCAAGTGGAGGAATAGTAATTTTGGCATTTTGATATTTCCAGTTTTATTTATTTACCTTAATGTACAGTTGCCAGCAAAAGTCCTCCCACAAACTTGCTACACAGGGCTGTGGGAGAACTTTTGTTGGCAAGTGTACCTGTACTTCCATCAAGCACCATTTTTGCACTTGTTGTGTTGTTGACATTCAAACACTTTCAGCAACATTTGAACAATTTCCTTGTTCTCTTTAATGACTAGTTCAGATGATTCTACAGATATTATGTACAAGATTCATTGAAAGTAGGCCATTTATCAGTCTTTGCTATAAGTTCTTCTCACAAGTCATTCACTATGAAAAAATTAATGTTCTCTTTTCACTGAGGGAATCATATCAAATCTACACATTTTGGCCTGCCAATGAAGGGCAGTCCTGGATGCTTTCAGTCTGTCATCTACATCTCCTCACATGAATATTAATCTGACTCTTTCCTCTATTGTTAATTTCTCTACCATCTCTGCTGATTTGTTTTGATTATCTCAATTTAAAAAGAAAAATAGAGAAAAACATTAATTTTCTTATGATGTGTGACCTATGAGACATCAAGTACAATACTCAATAACCTATTAACAGTTACATTGCTTTGACAGACCTGAATTTTAATGGGAGGTACTAATATATTATCCATCCTTATGTTCTTTGACCTTCAACAGTTCAAAACATCCTGCCTCAAATATCTTCTGTCTTTAAGTAAGGGACAACTCAGTGAATAGATTTGATGACAGGTATGATTAAACAGTACAGGAATGTCATTTTAACCCTGCTGTTAGTAGGTTAATATGGTAATATTCATAATCACCAACATGAATAGTTTGAACACAGTTGTCAGCTTGTAATTAATTCCTGGTGTGTGTGTACCACCTGGGACTATTTACCTACTTTTCCTCTAAGGTGCATTTACAAGGCTCTGTAAGGAGTATTTACAGCTGATTGATTATATGAGTGAGGAGGATACTATATAGTTGATCATATGTATGAGGAGCCTTTATTGCTGGTCGACTCTACAAGGAACATCAACAGATGTTCTACTCTACAACTAGCCTTTAAAGCTAGGGTTCCATGGTCCCTACTGCATCAAGGAAGTGCAGTGTGCATGTTTTATACAATATTTACATGGATGGGGTCATAAGAGATATGAAAGCAAGAGTAATGGAGAGAGTTGAGTTTTGTTGATGGAGATATGGAATGTGAATCACCTCCAGTACTCTCTGCAGATGACACTGCTCTTTTGGGTGTTTCAAGTAATAAATGCTAATAAATGACTCTAGATGTATATACTAGAATAAAGAAGCAATGGGTACACTATATATAAATGTTTAGGCCTTATTGTGGAAGAGGACTACCAATAAAGTAACGTATAATACAGCAGTAAGACTGGAGAGTTATCCATCACACTGCACCACTACACCATAGAGGCTTAAAAGGGCAAAAAGATAATTTTTTTGCAGCTAATACTCCTTTTGGCATCTACCAAACAGCTATCTTTGTAACTTTTTCCTTGTCACATAACCTTCATTACTTTCACTATTTTCTAAACATCCTTGTCTTCTTGTTACATAAGCACAGTACAGTACATATACACATTAAGCATGCATAAACCTACATCCATCACCTGCCAATAAATATTACATCATAATTACAAACATGGTCTGGTGATCTTCAGGATCAAGACCTCTGAGCTTGTAGGTAGATCTAGCACCAGCTTATAATACCAGGCTATATGTAAGGTACCTTGGGGCTCAGGAGATCCATGAAATAAATAAAACAGATAACAGGGAGCATATTCACAAGTACAGTATAAGGAATGGTATAGCACTGACCTTAAAATTATGACCAGCTGAGAATGTACAAGCTACTGAATGGAATTACAGGGTGGAAAAGATCAGAAAAAGTTAAGTCACCAATGAAGGATAGGTCAAAGGGCGTCAAACCTTCCCTTGACACCTTCTACACTACAATAGGTATTTAAGAAGAGGGTGAGAAAAAGACCACACAAAGATATATGATATGTATTGGTAGGATGATATATTGCTAACATTGCAAAGTGGTTTATTTTTTGTTTTACACTGAACATTGTGCTGGGATTATACTTTGCCTTCACAACCCATGAGAAGGTGATGTAACCGGAGGATCAAGCAGGAATGGTAGGGCACTATTGGATATGTTGAAGAATAATTGCTAAATTATGCTGAGTTGCTATACTACAATATCCTTCCTCACCTGGAGTGATGTTGCCATGCTTAGTAGAAGATGGCATAAAAAAGTATTTATTAGTACTGTTCTGTATTGCTTTTTGACAAAAATTACCAAAATTTATTGATAAGACCAGGTGCATTAAAATGTTCATTTCCAGTCACTGAACTGACCATATTTTTCCATGTTGATCCCAAAAATATTACAATACCTGTAGAAAGCGAAAATAATTAACAAATTCATAAACAAATTTTCAGAAACACAGGTAAAATACATTTGAACAAGTATTTAAAAAACTTTCATTGTCAGATCCTCATAAAAAATTAAAGTTGAAACACTGAATTCTAACCAGATTGCATTAAATAAACTGTATAAATAAAAAAAAAGTGGGAAACAAAATTTGCCTTCCACCCTACCCTAAAATGGCTATGTAATTGGAAATGGACAATTTACTTCGATTTGGCCAAATATTCATCAAAAATTATTGAAATGGTTAGTTTAAAAGATCACTACTGTGCCTGTACTTGTGCTAATAGCAAGCTTCTTGCATTATATGTTGGCCTAAGAGGTTAGCATCTTCTTAACTACAAAGCAAATCACAGTACAAGCATACCACAACCAACATGGATTTGGTTTGCAGTAAAGAAGGATTCAATACCCTTCTAGTGATCTACTGCCACACTACTATAAACTTTTAAACATTAAAAGCCATGTGAACAATAGGAAGACACATAAATAATAGACAATATCCATATTCAGTGCAGTATTTATCCTCAACTGGTAATGAAATTCAACACTTATTGCCAAATTTATTGACAATACCTATTTTTTCATTCTTGCTGCCTTGAATTTGGACACCTTCTTGGGCTGCTCTTCAGTTTTAGTGGTGTCATCATCATCAAGAGCCTCAGCCTTGTCACTCTTGTGCTCCAAAACTCGGTATGAAAATGCCTGTAACAACATAACATTTTTACTATCCTTGTACTGTACTATACTGTATTTTCATTTTTCCAAACAGATACCAGTAAGTATCTTTAAACTAAATTCACGACCTAAATCTATTCCTAGGTAAATAACATGTTTCTTTACTGAATAAGCTTCCCCAAAACCATCGTCCAGTACGTCACAACTGACTACACACACTCTTCCTCAGAAATGATATCCTGTTTTCCATAATTATGTACAGTATGATTATTATTATTATTAAGCTATACTATATACAGAACTGTACTGTATATCTTTAACATATACCCACTGCCACTAAAACACACTTCCTAATCTCATCACTGACATGCAAATTTGAAATAGAAATTTTTTTTTCTCAAAACTCCTCCATTTAAAGGCCAGTCAAGTGATTTTTTTTCAAGTCCATGTGCCCGGCACTTGCCTGACACACAACCTAATGTTTTGAGAGGTAAATAACTAGGGAATATGTCAGGTGCTGAATGACCCCATCTCCTTGTACATGTTTTATTAAGGGAGGTCCATCAACAAACTGCTTGTCATCAGTGTTTCAGGTGCAGGTGATTTATCTCTACATAAAGCCATCAACCTGCCTTTAGTCATTCTGTGTCAACTGAGTGGCTGTAGACATGAGGTGACAGGAGTTATGACCTCACATGACCAGGGATACTGCCACTGACACCAAATTATAGAGGAGTGGTAGCTATGATAGGTGATCACAGATACCACCTCCATCTCCCCAAACACCCTGCAGGTGTGAGGTGACAGGAGTTATGATATTACTGTAGTGTACTGTACATGACATTACTGCCACTAATTACAGCTGGAAGCTGCAGCTGTCCACTGGATGAAAAAGGGTGAGGGTAAAATGTATTTACACAGACACAAATGACCTATGATACACACAATAAATCTGAATGTTTTAAAATGTCCATTTAATTTTTCCATAAAAAATCTGGACAAGCAGATTTCCTCCAAAAAATCTGTCTGGACAAGTAAATTTCAAAAGTCACTTGCCTGGGACAAGTAAATGTTCCACATAATCTGCACAGCCTATTACCAATTATCTCCAATGTCTCTTCATATCTTAGCTTTCTTGATCGATCATTTAAGGCTTAATCAATATTTTGGGGATGTTTGTATGAAACTTAAACCATTACTGATGGTGAAGTTTGTCCCTGCCAAAATTTCCAAGTTAAAACCCTGATTATAATACATATGTACAGTATTACCAATGAAGTAAAACTTACAGGCTTTATTGAGTGCATCCTCTTTGGTGGTGGTGACGGGGGTGGTGGAGGAAGGTCTTCAGGGGTTTCCGAATCAATATCTAATGGTTTGGGGGGACAACACCACCCATCCTGCACATCTGAATTATCACCTGTAAATACACACACACAAAAAATTTATATATTATCATAACTGTATTTAGTTTTGCCTTGACAGTCTTTAACATTTTCGACCCTGGAACTTTCTTAACCTGTCTATATCTTTACAAACTCTCTATTTCTTTTGTCAACATGAACAACTTTTGAGCCAGAAGTGGAATGGCTGAAGCTTCCAAATGAACAGTGAATGAAACGCTCAAGGACTATAACATTTACATTACCATTAAATATTTTCTAAACAAAACTGACAATGGTCATGTAGGTACTGGTTACAATGTACACCATATGCAAATTTAATTCTTATGTTGGACTTATTTGTCTAGATAGACAGATGCACACACAGCATTGTAACTATGCTATTGAACATCCCCAAACCATTTCAGTCAGGGGATGACAAGATTCATCATTTATGTACAATATTACTGCTGGCTTCTACTCACTTATTTCATCCACTAATTCAGAGAAAAATATAAATTAATGAAAGTTAAGCAAACAAGAGTCCAGCCCAAGACTCAAATTTTGCTCCAACACTTCTGACTCTTAATCTGCTGTCTTATGATATGCCTTTCACTATTTTAATTTATTTCTTGGAGCACAATTTAAAGTATCTTAACACATTACACAGTCTTGATCTTTTAAAATATTTTTATCACAGGCTTGGTAAGATTATATTTATCCTCAAATACAACCTACCGTAATTTAAACCTTCAAATAACAACCTACCGAAATTATTAAGGTACATCATCATTAGCACTGTTGTACTGGTCAACTAACAGAAATAATAAGAAATAAACCTATTAATGTGGCACATATCAATTACAATAATTATACTTACAGTACTACAGAATAGTATATCCAATACATTACCCTGAGCTGGAAGAGATGTCGATTTTTTCAGTATCCCTCGGGGAGGTGGCTCAGGTCCAGATGCCCCAAGACCAAACACCTTATAAATATCTGAAGGACTCTGAATACTCTCTACACCACCATCTGCTGTGTCAACTCCCTCCGCTCCAGGTGGCTCTAGAGGAAGGGAGAGCGGCCCACTAGAGTACTTAATGCGATATATATCCTCACTCTCATCATCTGGGATTACTGTGTACAGGGGCCGCACATCATCTGCCCAAGAAACCCTCCTTTTCAGTTTTGCTCTTTTTGACAGCAGTGTTTCGTGGGCAATTTCAGCACCATCACTATTTATAGTTCTTGCGCTATCACTTATCTGAGCATCAAATTTCACTTTTTTTTCTTCCCCAGCGACAGATATTTCTTGATCATTATCACTTTCTTCAGTTTCATCACTCCCATCAGTACTGGAAAACAAGACAGCATAGTATTAAAATACCCATAAACTAATAGTATAGTTTCAGACATAATACTGATTTTTACAGTAAATTTTTCAAAGATCTGAATGTCTTTACAATTATTATGTACATGCAGCCACATTGAGGAAAAGGTGAACATACTCTTCATCTTCCTGCAGTGCAAGTTGGTCTAATCTCTTCATGAGGTCCTCGTACGTCTGCCTATCCTTTTCAGTTAGATTATTTGCAAACCTTTCATCAATACTGGACGTACAGCTGTCCTCTGACAAAGTGCTGGTTCCTGGTGTAGGATCTGATTCACTACTCCTGAGAGCCCGTCTTTCCTCTTCTCTTAGTTGTGCATAATACTTGGTGACCTTTTTTCTGTGTTCTTCTGTAATAATATAAAACTTGCACATTTATCACATTTATAATTATAAGGATATAAATTAATATAAAAAAATATAAAAACACCTGCAAAATGATTGGTCCAACATGCTACAAGTTATCATAATTATGGGGCCACCAATATAAAGGAATATCCTATACAACAAGTGAGCATGAACACTAAACACTGGGTAACTATTGCATAAGCAAGGAATAATGAATGTGCTGTGAGCAAATAATACATGAAATAAGTGATTGAAAATTACCTTGCAACCTTTATTCTTTCCGATTTTTTTTATTCCCATAAGCAACATACAGCAATCATAAATAACAACAAATACAAGATATAGAAAACTGTATTGTCTTTATTATCTGACCCATTCTGAAATATGTTCTCAATAGAACACACAACTTATAATGTTTACTGTAAAGTAAAATGATTGCCACCGAGCCATGGGACACTACCGGCTCAAACTAATGTCTGCCGTACCTTGACTCCTCTGAAACTCGTCCTCAGTTAATTCCTCCAGAATATCCATTTGGTTGCCAGCCTCACCAGTCATCACCTCCTCAGCTTCCTTCAGCCAGTTAGTGTGTATTTTTCTGGAGGCTTCAGCCATTTTGATTTTCTCGTCACAGTCTGAAACACTTTCAAGTAAGCACACGGTCTTGAGACGGAAAAGTTGGACTCTGAGTGTACCGTGTTGCATCAGGATCCAGACTCTAAAAGATTCATAAATTAATTTTCTATCCTGACTGGAGGTGAGAATGCTTCTAGTAACAGTCGAGTTTCAAGTGCAATTCTAATACAGTTCTACTTCTTCTAAAATCTATCTCATGCTGGCCAATCACAAGCATCTTCACATCTCCAGTATCTACTACATCCTTCTCTCTCGACACACCTACAGTCTTTCTTAACTTGGTGATTTGTAAAATAACCCAATGGCCCAAACCCAACCTAACCATTAGGATTGGGGTCCTGGTCTAATGTGCCCCAATACTCATGGTTTTGTTACATTGAGGCCTTATGACACTGAGGGAATTAAGTCACTGTATTTATGGGGTCAAGTCATTGTACTTAAGGAGCTGATTTATTGTACAGTACTCAGGGGGTTGACAATGTACCCAAGGAGATAAAATATACCTGTATATTGAAGTTAATTCTTTGCAGTAAAATTTCAATACTGTATAATTTCAGACAAGTAAAATAATCCAATAATTAGAAAACACACCACACCTTTTAACCTCCGTCGAACAATGTCTGACGCTTGTTTTGCACTTCGGTCAGCAAACCAGTTATCGCCTAACAACACTAAGATCTCGTTAGTGTGAACCAAATGACCCGGCATGAACGCCAACTTGCCAAAGGGGACCATAACCTGCCAATCAAGAGACAAGTAGAAAATGTATGTACTGGATAAAATGCTTATTGCTCACACATTTGTATCTTTCACTGAAAATTAGGAATATTTTGAGATTACTGAACAGGTGTTTTATAAGTAACAAACCATATATTTTCTCTCGAAATTTGGATTATCTAAAAATTCTCAAGTCATAAAAAGTCAGCAAGTTTGTTTCCTTAAGGTGGAATGTTATGAAAACATTAAAAACAAAGTAAAAAAATAAGGTACAAGAATGGAGATTCACAAGCTCTCAGAACACAGCGAGGGTGACTAATACTGTACCTTCCAGAGGGATAGAAGACCTCACACAGTATATATATATATATACCTACTGTTCATACATACATTAAATAATTAAATACTGATTACAGAGAGACATTTATTTTAGGAATATAGGGGTTAAAAAAATTGGTGACAGGTATTAGAATAAAGTAGCATGGGATGTTGTTAAACCACAAATTATTTACACCTTCATAGTGGTATACAACACAGGAAGAACACGATGAAAAGGAAAAAGGCCGAGAGACTGTGGAGCTGGACACTAAGCTACATCTCATGGAAGGCTAAGAAACATAGATGAGAAGACACATCTACTTCTGTTCTGACTGCCTCCAGCCTTAGTACAGTCGAGGAGTCGGGCAGTAATCAAAACAAACGACTGAGCCCCAACTTTACCTAATCTAAGTAGGAGGAGTGGGACTCAGTTCTTTTGGCCCCTAGTCATAGTGGGTCCTAATCCTGATGGTTAGGTTCAATTGGAGTCAAATGGGGCTAAGATATACAGTATTAGTACTAGGGCCCACTTGATGTGCAACCACCAAAACATATCATTCCAGGTATACAAATAGTGATTGTCATGTCTGCTCATCATAAAACAAGAAGTAAACATGGACAGAAAAGAATGATGTCATGAGTGGGTGAGGACTCTTGGCTGGCTTAGGAGATCAAGGTAGAATTAGGTGTCGATGTGTCACAACATCTTTAGTTGTTGACTTCATATTGAAGAAGTGTAAAGGAGGTAAAGAATGGTGATTAATAAATATTTTTGTACAGAAAAATGGTGGGGGTGACTCTTGTTACATACAGATTTCTTAAATGTCTAATGGCAGACAGATCACAAGAGTTGAAGTCCTAATAATGTAAGCTAGAGATGTGGATATAAAGTTGATTAGAGAGTTGACCATGGTAAGTTGGAGGTAAACTAAACAAAAGTAATTAAATTGAGATAAACTATTTTTCACTGCTTCTTGCCACTACCTCATAGCTTAATCCCATCACAATGTAAGTTAGAAATGCCACTGGATAGAGAAGCAAGTAAATGTACAGTCTCGTTCAAGATTCCCCGAGCACTGCTGGAGACAGCTGGCAACTCAAGGCCGTTTGTTTACTTTAGTATGTAGTAAAAATTATGAATGAATGTAAAATTTTATTGGTGATTGGTTACTTAGTTCCCCATTGCTTAATTAATGGTTGGGCTTCATTGTTTCTATACTACGTACTATAGTAAACAAACGGCCTTGAGTTGCCAGCTGTCTCCAGCAGTGCTCGAAGAATCTTGAAAGAGACTGTACATTTATGATCAAGCTTAGTATATTAGAGTTTGGTTAAAATTCCTTTTCAAAGTTAACTCTGCCCCACGTTAACTGTCTGTAAAGGAGAGTTCCGAGCACTTGCCTCATGTGTAGTTTTATCTGGAAGAGTTTGAAGCCTCTTTAAAAGCTGTTCATAATCTTTTTGGAATTTCTGAAGCTTTGTTAGTTCTTCTTCAATTATTCTTAGTCTCTGAAAAAGCAAAAATTTAAGCTGAATTAATAAAAATCAATATACAACATTTCCCCTAAACACTGGTCTTTCAATTGCTCTCTTTACAACAGTGTGTTAATTTACCATATCTTGTCCCCATCATATTAACCATTTTAATTATTATCATCATCTTCGGGTAATTTACTGAAACTGCAATACTGTATCATCATTTTAAGACAAGTGGCATTTTGGTGCCATGAATTTAAATTTGTGAGCCAAAGATCATACTAAGGCTCGAAACTTGATGATTGGTAGACACTCTAGAGTCAGACACAAGGCTGGTGGAGACTCAAATCAACTTGCTATCATCATCATGGAATGATTTGGAATTGTTTATGCCTCATCACCTTCCTCCCCATCCCAACCTTCTCCCGTCTTCAGTGGCCCCTCACCCACACCTACAATACCACCTACTTTGCACCACAAAAACCCACCGCTGCACCACCACAACCACCTCTTGCATCAGAACAACCATTGCTCAGAAGTTGCCAGTTACTCTCTGCCTCACTTCAGACTCATAACTTGCCACCCCTATTAAGTACCAAGTTTTTACAGTACTGTACAGTGTATATGGTTTTTGTGGCTTCTAAATTTTATATTCTCAATTTTACATGAGAAAAAAAATGTACTTTCATCTGTCAATTATTTTTTGCTTTGTGGGGTACCCACAATTTCACAAATGCTGCAATTATTGGGTAAACGTTGTCTGCATTTTTATTAGCATTTCTGCCTTTTTAAATTCCCTTCTGACAGAATATGTGAAGAATACAATAACTGCTCAATTTTATCTTCGATAGTTCCTACAAACTTAAAATCAGTTAAGAATGTTACTAATCATCATACCTCTTTATGTACTTGTTGAAGCTCAACCAAGTTGCCCAAACTTTCCTTCACTGTCCGCAGAGTGACGGATGGATCTATGCCGTCACTACTGCCACCACTATTTTTCCCTTCATCTTGTATGGGGGACAATGTTTTCTTCATCACGTCTGAAAATAATTAGGGTCACAACTCTAGATGAAATACTAAGACTTCAGAACTATTTTGACAAATACATACAACATAGAATAAAAAAGCAAAGCACCTGAAGATTACATCCCTCAGCTTATTAAACCTAAATATTAACCACCTTAATGCTATTTAGGAGGGGTGAGGTTAGGTTATGATAGGATAGGTTAGGTGAGGATTAGTGTGGTTAATCTTTAGGGGAAATAAGCTGGGGTGGAGAATCTTCAGGTGATCCAAAAAAGGAATTACAAAAATAACATTATAGAACTTCATTAAAATATGTAATAAATAAAGAACAAAAGCATAGTTACATTTATTCTACATCCCCCCCCCCAAAAATATTAATTTATCTTTTTTATTTATTCAGGCCTTTCCCCCAATACACCTAGGATGATCGGATACGAACAAATGAACAAACAATTCCCTTTCATTTGATTTAATTATTTTTTTATGCCTATTATAAAAAGATGTATTCTGCTATGGTATTTCCCCTCCACAAGGCCCGAAAAGTTGGTTAACCTCCACCACTTCACACAAGGCAACCTTACTCATCTGCACCACGCCCTTCTCAAACATCCACTTGACGCCACACTCATCACCATCATTTGTACAGGATCCTTCACTCCATCCTTCCACCTCTTTGGTCTTCACCTCTCATTTCTACAATCCACCTATGAATACCGTAATACAACCTTTTTGCATATCATTATTTAATTTCCCATTCTCTCAGTATATTAGTGTCACCTGACATACTGTACTGTACTTTATATACTGTACTGGACTCTAACACCAAGAACTTACAATACTCTAAGACACTCTACTGTACAATAAAACTTCCCTGTAACTATTCAAACACAGCAAATTACCAGAAGACTCCAAGACTGCAAGACACTGAACAACTCTGCTACTGCCTCCAGGAAGACTGGTTCCTTGATCTCACCTCCCTGATAAGGCAAGTGAGGTTATAAAGAGATATACTTAAACATTTTTCAACTTGATGGATAAAATCAAATCTATACAGCAATAATTTTAGGGTTATGATGTCTCTCTCCTAAACTGCTGGACTGGTGTGTCTACATCCAAGTTGCTATTATTTAAATCAAACTACCATGTACTATATTTAAAGAAAGTGATTTAAGTAAATTTATATGAGAGGAACAAGTCACTGATTTAAATAATATGGCCTATTGTGTGTCTGTGAAGCAGAGTGCAGCTGTTGATGACATTTCAGAATCTGTGCTACCCAATCAGCTCAAATCTTATAAGATTTTTTGCAATGTAAACTCTAATAGATCTTTCTAATTAGCTTTACTCCTTCCAATACCTTGCTATCACCATATTTTAATCTGAAATAATGCTTCCTCACATAAAATAGTAACAGATCAGGACCTTTCCTCAGTCACAACTCCCTAAGTTTGAATTAGATGAGCAAAATCTACCTAGTAGTACAGGTAATATAATGCCAAAGGGTATTTCTCCATTCAATAATCAAGAACTGTCTTGGAAAACAGAAATCTTCCAAGCTTGTTACTGTACAGTCTGTATTTAAGTATTATAATAGAAAGCAATGATACTAATACATTTCAACTTATTTCTTACGACAATATTTACTGTTAATAGCTGTTGCTGGGAAACACTTGGGTAAACGACTGGCACAGAGTACAGGGTATCTTTATTTGCAGGGATAACTTGGGAAGAAAACAAAATACGAGAAGTGCTGTTCCTCCTTAACATTTGCTTTACACTTCAGGCATTTTTCTTCTGTAAAGATTTTTCATTAGGTACTATTACCAGATAAACGATAGGTTATACAATATATTTTTCAAACATTTTTAACTCGATTTTTTTTCTTTCTCCCTAACCGGATAAACATGGTGGTGCGCACCAGCAGTGCACTTGCCTCTCATCACTGTGTCCCAGATGAGAAGGTTGTTATACACAGTGACCCTATTAAACATCCCAGGTGTTCTGCAGACCTGTACCTGTACCCCGTACTCTAGAACTCCCCAAAACTGACCCCTTAATATATTCATACCTGCATTCTTCTTTAACGTCATTGATAATAAAAAATTTTTTATTTAATTTCAACAATAATTCATCCTTAAAACAGATGAAACAGAGAGACTATTTTAATAAAATAATCCCCTGGCTCTCTTTAACCTAACCTTCAAGAGTGTAAATAATGTGCCCCAGTAAACTTGCTAAAAAATGCAGAATTCTTTATAAGAAACACAAGTAGCAATAAACAAAAATCAAGCATAATTCGGGCTGTGAATCACTTCTCGATTATTATTTGGTGTCATAAAGTCAAAAAATAATTGGTAAACTTAATTTAATCTGATTTGTGTTGTTAGGTTAGGTTAGGTTAGATTAGGTTAGGTACATGCACTCGATCTATTAACTCACATTAAATTAAGTTTACCAATTTTTTGTGACTTTGTGACACCAAATACTAGTCGAGAAGTGATTGGCAGTCCGATTTATTCATCTAGGACCATTATTTGACTTCATTCCGGCTATATTTGGCTACATTTGGGTAATTAGTCGGACCCACCTACCTAACCTAACATAGGAGGAGGAAAGGAGGAGACAAGTGACCCAAGTGAGGGGTAAAGCCTCAAGTAAACATGACGGGAACCTGCGGACAGCCAATAGACGAGTATTAACCGGTACAATACTTCTAGTCACAGCGACCAACTCTGGAGTGATTATGGATCAAGCTGGGCAAGATTTTCTTTGTTTAATAATCTACAGTATTGATGAATAGCTGCAACAAACAATTACCTTTTCTTTATACTGTGTGTCACACTGATCATCACCGTGTGGTCCCAGTCAGGTTTTAACACTCCTCCCAGTAACCAAATAGAAAGTCCTAGTTTTAGTATTTATCACAACAAATTACTGTATATTATTATCATCAACTAGACCCTGACAGGTAAAGGGAATTATCATACTGTATCTTATGAAGAAGTTGGAAGACAATAACATTAAAGGTCCATAGAACTCTAAAACAAACAAACCCTGAACACTAAATAAACAAACCCTGAACAATAACTAAACAAACTAAATGGTGACCTCCTTGAACACATGCACGCAATACCAATTCCATCCTAAAACTTGCCAGTGATTGAGGACAAATCTTGCCTCAAGCACAATGCTACAGAAGCAAAAATATCAACATTCAGGATAAATTTCTTTATATATTTACACGCCATTACTCACAATAAAGCACCAAGAGATTATACCCAGTAATGAACCGATCACACCAATCTTCACTCTAGGTTCTTCACGCAGGCCTTTTGAATCAGCTGTTCTAGGGCAGCAACCATGACATTCCAATATTTATTTCTTTAAAGATATTTGTAAACTATAAATTTTAATACTATATTTTCATAAATAATTATATAATATTTCTAAATAATGATATAATATCTGTATAAGAATACATCTCTGTAACTTCGTATACCTGACAAAACAATATTTTTAAGAGAATTAATCTACGATATTGAAAGATACGCCAATCAAAACAATTATCGGTATTGTGGGTGACACAGTTGATGACTTTGATGACTACAGGAAGACTTCACCTGAGGACAGTATTGAGTTTCTTAACGTGTGATAGTAACCTCCGTTTTCTGTTCAGTTAATGCAAGGATCACCTGAAGATTAGACCCCAATTTATTTTGCCTTAAGATTAACCTCTCTAATGCTAACCTAGTACGTATAATATAATCTAACCTAACCCCCTAGACAGGGTTAAGGTGTTTAATCATCGAGTGAAATAAACTCGTGGGCTAATATTCAGGTGATCCAATACGACTTATAAACATGATTCTTTATACACAGTATTTAATCTTATACATACAATAAATGTTGAAATCAATTCATAACGCCCATAAAATTGAATATATTTTATTTCTCCTTTATAATAACACAATAAATGTTATTTAACCTGATTTATACTCACCATGAAGAGATGCAACATAATGTCCACCCCATACTGATATATACTGCACATTCACATAAATCATAGACAGACCCACAGGCAGAACTTCACTTACCCACCACTGAACTATACTGAATTTCAACGTTCAGGAGTCGTATGTATAATAAAAAAAACGGAAGAGGAAGTGTAAATTTGTGTATAGATTACAGGTAGCAATTTAGTTATTAAGCTCATTGTGTAGTGAGGTACAATTACCTATACCAAGACTGACTGACAGTGACAGGTATATGGTGAGTGGAGGTACTTAGCAAAAATCAGTTACATTATCAATTGTTTCTTATATACAAAATGACAGATTCACAGTCAAACTGGGTTCACCAATGCATTTAAATTCTATACATTTGATTTACTGTAACTGGGATAATCCTTGATCTAAATAACCTACCTATATGTTGGATAGGTTGAATAAGGTAAGAATAGTTTAGGATTAGTTAGAATAGTTATTACAGTTGGTAAGATTTTATTAGGTAAGATTGGTTAGTTTACCTTCAATAACCTTATTAGCATTGATTCTTATCACCAGCTTTACAAGCATAGCGTCACGAGGTCTAGCCAATCACAGTACGGCTGATGGTCTCACTATACCTGTTGTACACTGACCTCATCAATTATTAAAGATCCGGTAACCTTGCGCGAGTTATTTTGTCTCTTATTCAACTTATAATTCCGGGTTGGGTAACGCCCCTTTATGCCTATTGTGTAACATAATGACTGTGTGAGGGTCTCTCTCTCTCTTGTATTCTGTATAATACAGTATTTATTTAAACTGTGAATTAGGACAATATTTTCCTGAGAACTATATTCCCTGATGAATATAATGGATCTTAGGACAATATTTACTGGTGATTTGTGCCAGTGATAAATCTTTCCTAACAATATTAACCAATGAGTAAGGTCCTTCAGTGAAGAACGTGCCACCAGTAATAACTTAATATCTAAAATAAGGCAAAATATAACTATCGTAATGCGGGAAATTGAGTAAGTTAGATAAACCAAAAGAATGGGATTTGTTTTCAGATCGATTCACATCACAAATTTATCTTAATTATTAATAAATACAATTATAATAAAACACCAATTGGTTTTTGACAGTAACACATAATATAAAAATGAGGAATAAGTACATGGAAAATTTTAAAGTATAGTACGAGGTTACAAACTGTGGTGGTGGATCAACAACAGCAGTCGACACATCAAGCACACTGTGTCTCCGGTATCTTGCTCGATACTGTATTTATATTTATGAAATGACAACCAAACATGGTAAATATACATTAATATGGCCATGTTGTTTGAGTAATTTCAAGCCTTATTCTACATATTACATTCATATGTCATGTCACCTACAATAATCTCGTTGCAAACACCCTGTGAGTAGATTATTGTAAGTTTTAGTTCCAGTATACTTCGTAAAATCCAGTCATGTCTCACTAATGTCAGGATAAATGACTATTAGGATCACAATACATTTTCACAGCCTATCTCTGTCATAACTTTGGCGACAAAAACCTATCAGATACACCATCTCTAACGTAAAAACTTTCCAGGTTAACTGACCTCGTTAAAATCCATTGGCTTCACTATTTTTTTTTAAATGTCTATCAGGTTCTCTAGTTTCACGGTAAAAACCTGTTTGACTCACTAAACCCATAGTAAAATTATGAAGTTCATTACATATATTATAAAACCAGTGGATGTTTTGCTGTGACCGGCTAAGTTCCTACTAACACTATTTTACCATGAGTGCGCTCTTATTGGCAAAGTACTTTCTGTTTAATATGACGAGGTCCGCCCCCCGGCTAGGAAGTTAGGTAAGGTTAGGTGGGTTTCTTTGGTTGGTTAGGTCAGGTTCTATTAAGTTCTAGTAAATGTTGCCTCTGTTATAATGATAAGTTTCCAAGCACAACAGAAATATGGTTAGGTATGTTTACAGCTACACATCAATCGACTCACGGCGAAATAAATGCCAAATACTGCCACGGTCACATATCATTCTCATGTTCCCCGATAATGGACGATTAGCCAATCAGAGCACATTCACGGTAAAATAGCGTTTGTAGGAACTTAGCCGGTCACGGCAAAAATATCCACTGCCTATTATAAAACTCAATTAAGGTCACTCTGAAATTCTAATGGGTTCACAAATATCATTTTAAGTGCCAGTTTAATGTGTCGTATTTACTCATTACACCTCTAACCTAACGGACAATCATCCGGATGTAAATTGTCCATGGAAATGACATCAATCAAGGAAAGCACACACCCCATAATAAGGAGGAAATGGCAGGGTAGAATGGTGTAAGACCAGTATAGTTGGTGATAGGAATGGTTTTGAATTGCAGGTGGAAATACTCGACAAATGTTTCTCCGTTCCCTCAACTTGGACAGGAAAGGGCCCAGATGACAAGTATAATATTAATATAACACACACACACTACTACTACTACTCTGCTGTCACTTGGAATCAAGTATGATGATTATCCAATCAAGTATGATGATTATCCAGCGATGTGGGGGGCTACGTCTAGTGTGGGAGGGGTGGCGGCAGCGTCTTTCCAGCATTGGCACTTGTTTGCCTCGTTATGCAGTCGGGCTAACTCAAAAGTATTGACACCTTCTTGTGTGGTGCTCCTCCAAGCGTTACGGTTAGGAGTAATCGACTCCCAGGTGAGGGGGGGTCGATTTGGTACTTTTTCAGGTTTGTCTTAAGACTATCCTTGTACCTTTTTAGTTGCCTGCCAGAATTACATTTACTATTAGGGTGTTTAATCATCAGGTGAAATACTATGTGGTGCCTAATCTTCAGGTGATCCAATTTTACTTATCATACCTCCACTGGTATCAAATAAAGACTATTTTCCAGCTACGTCTTGGGTGTTAAGTGGAGCTGGCCGTAGAATGTTCAGGGCCTTGGCTGTGGCAGGAGCAGGTGGCAGCTTCCTTGTGTATTACCTCCCTAATACTGTCTTTATCAACAAATATAAAGATGTCACCAGATTATATAGGTAATGTAAACTGCTTCTGATTTGGATCTGTTTGACCTGTAGTACTGTAGTCCTAAAAACAATTATTTGAAGACTAAAATTAGGGAATTTTTGCAGTTGAGCATGGTAGAAAATACTGTACTGTACAGGGTATATCTATATTAAGTTTAGTTATACTGTATTTATAATTAAATTTATATTAACAGTTTGAAAAGATAATATAATTTTTATAAATATTTATCGCAATTTTGGCTTGTTGCTTAGTCTGTTTTGGACGAGTTAGTTATATTAAACATCTCTCCTCGTAATAATTATCTGATGCTACGTTATTTTTATTCTAGAAATGGTCTCCCAATTCCAGTGAAAAAACATGTGACCTCACTAATTGATGAGGTTATGGATGATCTTGGCACGAGTCAACTGGAACGGAACCTAATATCCTTGTACACTGCCTATGGCTTTGACATTTTCCGTGCTGGGTCAACAAAGGTATCGTCTGGAGGAATTTTAGGCATACCAGTCAACTTTGAATACTCTACCATTGATGAATTTGTCCACACAGGTATAACTGTGAGTAAGAAGTTATTTATTTTATGAAATGTTCTTGTTAATACTGCAAGACTGTAATGAAAACTTTCGAATCTGTTCTACATGAAAAATATAAATTTAGCTTTTATGAGTAATGAAAATACAGATACTAAACTGTTCTAAAACAGCTTCACTTGGCTGTACTGTACTGTATAATAGTGTGCTTAATACATTCAAATACTTGGAGCTTGAATTAAAAACAAGGAAGTTATAAGAAATGATTTAAAGAAATAAATGTTTAAAATAGTTTTCAGAAGAAGCTGGATGAGATATTAAGTGAGGGTAACCCAATCTGACAGTTAAAGTGATGTAGAAAAACTGGAACACATTTATATTGTAGTTATTTTTTTTTGTATGGTTAAATAATGCATATGGAAATTTTCTTAGCTCGTCTAGAATGATATGAAATTCCAAAAATATTCTTCCTATGATCCCAGCTGATAATGTCTATCCCTACCAGGTCAACAATGAACCAGTTCCTTGGAGCACTCCAGAGGGAGAGTCACTAAAGCAGTCCCTTGTGCTCAGTAAAGATGCCAAGAAGTTTGCTATTGCCCGGGAGATTACTAGTCTGTCCACACTTGAACCCTTTGCAAATGGTGCATTCACTGCTGCAATAGTGGGCATGGTTTACATGATGAGTTCTGGGGTTAATGCTAGATTTAACTTCTACGCAAAACCTCGTTCTTTAAGAGTGATGTTATACGGGCTAGTGTCGTTATTTGGGTATGCCTTCTGGAGTCTCGGTAAAGATGTGTCTACTGTTCAGTACGAGGCAAGTGCTGATAGAGCTGCAGCTGATGTGGGTGAAAAATATGCTACTGGTGGGTTGGAGTATTATGAAAAAGTATTGCAACGAAACGTTGCCTTGCGATCTCTTATGGGAACTGAAGGTGACAAGTTGTACACTGCTTATGGTAATGACCAGGTGAGCTGCAGGTGCAACACTTTACATTACTTCATTATCCCTTTCATTTTACAGTACATTATTTCATACACAGAAAACAGAATGATTTTTGATCCTCAAGGAACTACATGTGAGTGCCATTATGGTGTAACAATATAGACTTATCTTATTTTTACCTAATCTGTACAGTACAAAGAAGGATTTGGTGTAGAGATGCTTAATATAATGGGTAAACTAAATGCATGGATACAGCTTTGTTAAGGGAAATAACTAAGTTTTAGTGTTTTGTGTGAAAATGAGGTATTTCTTTTTCTCAGGTGTTAATACGAACAAAACACATCCCCTTTTCCCTGCGGAGAGCATACCTCAAGACCCGAGTTGAGGAATACAGAAAAAGCACTGAAGGAACCCCATCAGTCATTGTTGAGTCAGAGACAGAAAGCTGTTCTTCCGATACAAGACAAGAGGAAGAAGACTGTTGTTGTAAGAAAGATACTCAGACACAAGACACACAAGCACAGAGTTGTCTTCCTGCCACAGAACAGGTCAATGCATAGATAAACAGTAAACATGTAAATAATTATTCTTTAAATATCAAAATACCATATTTCTCATAGCAGTGTTTTGTTTGCAAGAGATAATTGCATCAGTGGTACAGATATCTATGAGCAGTCATTTATTTGAAATAAAAACAATATTATACCAGCCAAAGAACTAGGATCACAGTGTATTAAAAGCTAACCATATTAATCCCTCAGAACTTTAAGTTTTATTGACCATTATTTATATTACAGTTTATAGATTATCTGACCTGTTGTACCTGCCTTGCCTACATTTAATATTTTACTGTACATAATTGTTTTTTTTAATAAAGTCTCATTCTGGGGTTATTATAAAACTTAATGTATTATTTCATCCTGATGGTGTCCTCCTTATGTGTTCAGTTAGCTGTGTGTTGTACACCTATGACAGTGATCACAGATATTTATACCTGCATCATTCACCTCTATGAATACCAATCCTGACTGTATGATTGACTTAATTACTGAAAGGGTTTTTGAAGCAGCCTCCCTTGATACCACTCATGACTAATTCTTGGTCATTCATGTGTCATAGTACTGGACAGTTTCTAATTTTTAGTTTAAAGGTATCTACTAATAACACTTAAGAGCTGCTTACATAAACTAATACTGTATTGTATATATGAACCAGGTACTGCACATTGCTTATTCTTATTGATTTAACTTGTGCTGTACGTACCATGAATTTATTGGTGGGTGAAATTTACACAATACTGTACAGTACAGCAGGCATGGGCAACCCGCAGCCCGGACCATGTGTTTATGCAGCCCATGGAGTGATTGAGAAATTCCATTTAATGTGGCCTGTGGTTCAGGTAGATGCAGCCAGTTTAAGGTGAATAAAGCAATATTTATTAAAGAAATAATCTTCATACACAATTTGTTACTGTTTCATCACCTAAGATTAAGTAACTACAAAAATGTAACAGTGAAATAAGTATATGTATATAGTCAACAATATAAACATTATAACTTGTGTGAGTTTAAGGCCAAGTTTGTCACGGTCTGTTTGATGGATGAGCTCCTGTGTGGCAGTAGGTCACTTGGGAATAACTAAGGTTGGGTAAGTCCAAGTGGGGTCATTGGCAGTGGTCACATAGGGTTTAACTAATTAAGTACTTCCAACACCTAAATTGCATCTTAAAAATCTTTAGTTGGTGAATAATTAACAGTAAAATAACATAATATAAATTTTCCATGCATCATTACGACCGCTAATTACTCTGTAATAGAATCGTGGACCATAGATTCGGAATCAGCGTGTTCAGGAGTACCTATACTGATATGCCTATAGGTTGTTTCATTGTAGTTCCTCATATGACAAGATTAACATTGGCATTATTCTGGTGGGTGTCTCATGAGTTAGAAAAATGCTGTAACTGTAGGAAAAATCAATGTACAGGGTGTTCACAGAATGCTTCACTCATCTTCTGCTAAGTGTTATGAAACATTAACATATTACTTTAAAAAATTTATGATGGATTTGTTTCATGAATGGGAAAAAGGCTGATTGTAAACTGAAAATATCGTAAGGTGGTCGTGACGATAAACTGCTTCACTGTCCGTGCAAATACAGTATTAACATTACCTTTGGGTTAGGTAAGATATAAATTTTGGTGGGTAGGCCAGCAGAAAAATACCTAAATTGTAATGCGACCCATGACTGAGGAAAGGTTGCCCATGCCTGCTGTACAGTACTGTATAGGCAAGGAGGTAAAAATACAGGGAAGAGTAGTTTCATATTTCTCTTAGGTATTTCAACATATGAATGTCAATCCTAAATTACAATCCAAGAATTAAGACAAGTCTTTGCTTATGAAGTTTATGATAAATATTTGTTAACTCGTAATTTCTTTTTACCATGAGACACATCAATGGTAATAAATAAAATTTATCGTAACTGGTTCTTCCCTGAGAACTAATAAGGTAACATGAATGAGTGAGGTATACAGTACAGGTGTCTGGTATAATGGCATTATTCTTGATTCAGACCATCCTTTGTAGAGGCAAAAAACAGCTTATAAGAAGGAATAATAAAGACAACCAATATCACTTTTTCCTGATAGTTTACAGGATGTACTTGTGACTTTGTTCGTAATATTTCATAGTATTTAAAGGCATAAATATAATCTATATGTATGTTACTTGTTCATTGTCGATTGGTAAAACTGTACTGTACTGAAAATGGTGTACAGTTATCCTCAAACCTCGCTTAATTTTGTACTTTAAACCTTCTGGCTTATGATGGTGACACACACACACACACTTGAAAAACGAGTTCTTAGGTCCTTTAGAGATCAGGGGATGGGAGGGGTAGGGGGCAAGCACCTCTAAAAAGGCCAATAACCTCTGCTATATACTGTTCATTTGTTGGCTCGTAATTAATTAACTGGCAAAAAAAAAACCACCAAAAAAACAGAAGATACGGACCAAATAAGCCTAACTTAATCACAACTACCCGAAGATACTTTTGTTAGGTTCGGTTAACTAATTAAACCAGTCAGAACAAATTAAGTCAACCGAGAATCATATCTAGTTAATTTTGTCTTCTTTAGTTATAACATGTTAACTAAGCCGGACTTATAATATAGGACACCAGACTTAGAATATAGGACACCGGACTTATAATATATAATGTTAAGAGTGTGGTAAGCTTGACTCAGTACCCCAGTAAGGCGACATAAGAAGCTTAGTGCATACTTAACACATCTCCCCCAGGTACTGTACTGAGTTACCTCTTACGAGTACTTTTCTCTCTACATGTAGTCAGTGTGTGTGTGTAGGGGTGGACGTGTGTGTGTGTAGGGGTGGACGTGTGTGTGTGTAGGGGTGGACGTGTGTGTGTGTGGACGTGTGTGTGTGTGTGTGTGTGTGTAGTGTGTGTGACGTGTGTGTGTGTGTGTGTGTAGGGGTGGACGTGTGTGTGTGTGTAGGGGTGGACGTGTGTGTGTGTGTGGGGTGGACGTGTGTGTGTGTGTAGTGATGTGTGTGTGTGTGTGTGTGTAGGGGTGGACGTGTGTGTGTGTAGGGGTGGACGTGTGTGTGTGTGTGTGTGTAGGGGTGACGTGTGTGTGTGTGTAGGGGTGGACGTGTGTGTGTGTGTGTGTGTGTAGACGTGTGTGTGTGTGTAGGGTGGACGTGTGTGTGTGTGTGTAGGAGGACGTGTGTGTGTGTGTGTGTGTAGGACGTGTGTGTGTGTGTGTGTAGGGGTGGACGTGTGTGTGTGTGTGTGTGTGTAGGGGTGGACGTGTGTGTGTGTGTGTGGACGTGTGTGTGTGTAGGGGTGGACGTGTGTGTGTGTGTGTGTGTGTAGGGGTGGACGTGTGTGTGTGTGTGGACGTGTGTGTGTGTGTGTGTGTGTGTGTGTGTGTAGGGGTGACGTGTGTGTGTGTGTAGGGGTGGACGTGTGTGTGTGTGTGTGTAGGGTGGACGTGTGTGTGTAGGAGTGGACGTGTGTGTGTGTGTGTGTGTGTAGGGTGGACGTGTGTGTATGTAGAGGTGACGTCTAATGTATGTGTATGTACGCGTCTACAATGGCGTACACACACCAGACGAGGCTGTTGTGAGCCAGTAAAACGCCACCACTAGGGAGTCCGCCCTGGGAATTTTGATGAGTTTTAGGAGGGAGTTTTTATGTAGCATGATGACGTCAGAGTCAATAGTTCAGTTATCACCTACAGCATATGTGGCTAAAGAGGACATTTCTCAGGGTTAAGAGCAGAAGGTCCTATGTGTAACCCCAAGTACCCCTCCTGTGCACGCCACTGTGTATGGATGTACAATGAGTGTACATAAGGGTAGGAGTTTTGTGTGTACCTACGTTAGAGTTAAGGCGTATACAGCTAAATATAACCCATTCCCGAAGGACAGAATTATACTCTACTCGCCCACTAACACACAAAGCTCTCGTCATCTTAACCTTTCTTGCTACAGTAAAACACATCCTAGACTATCCACAAAGGAGCTGCGTGTGTACTAGATCTCCAAGACACATACTCGAGATGCCCAAAATACAATCATAACGAAGAAAATTGTCTCGGATTAAATGCCAACAACACCTGGGATCCAGAGAGCCAATCAGAGAGCGAGGAGGCGGTGAGTTGTAGCCAATGAGGTGCGTGTTTGTAGCCGCGTCGGCGACAAGAGGCTCCTGAGACTCAGGTGGCCAAAGCCTCAGTCGGACAACTTCTTTGGGCAGAGTTGTTCATGCCGCCGCTGACAGAGGGCCGCTGACACGCAGGAGGTGTCAGAGTTATCACTGGGGCTCAACCACAGCAGGCAAGAACTACAGAGTTATGGTAAGTGACACAAATGGTTTTCAGTTCTGTACTGTAAAAGTGAAACCCCAAATAACTCACAGTATGTAGTATGGAAAACAAATTTCTTTTACCAGATGTTAGCAACTGAACGAGCCAAAGAAATAAACATCATTTTAGACTGATCAGAATTTCCCCAAAAGATTAATGAGATTTTTACAATCAATAATTAATAGATGTCTAACTTTTTTTTTATTCTATTAATACTTTCGCGAGATTCAAATACTGTACTAAATAATTTTTGTTTTCATTTATATATGTACTCAAGTCATAGTCTTAGTACAATTTCGGTGCCATTTTGGATGCCAATTTTTATGCCGAATCTAAGTGAACAAGTTTTATGAGTTCTCACATCTCCAGTTAGGGGAAAAATTTAACGTTAATAACCCCTAAAGTGAATCCTGTTGCTTAGGGAGCTGAACCCTGTCAATACATAACACCACAGCCCTACTGGAATGTTATAAATTATACGAAGAAACAAGCAACTTAACCTTTCGATTTTTAACGTATCGAAATTGCCTTTATGTTAATCTAAAATCGATATAACATAGGAAAGTGTAGTCATATTTATCACTCTTGAACATATTTCTATTTTATTATTATCTCAAGAATAATTTATTACGTCACTATCAACCAGAAAATTTACCCACCTATACTTGTAACTTGTAACCAAAGCATTTTTTTTACCACATTTTTACGAAAGATCAAGTCAGTAACGCATTGCCACACGGCGAAATTAACTGGCCGAGCTGTTGTATTTCTTTATTTAATATCATCAGGTGAATCGCGATCTAAGTAGAACGCACCCAAGACTTAGGTTAAAATAAGTTCCTGTCATTAAACACAAAATACGGCACAGTTTGTCAGGGATAAACAAAATATTACAACACAATGGGAAATATTACAACAGAAGGGGAAATATTAAAACAAAGGGGAAATATTACAATATTTCCCCTTTGTTTAACAATACAAGGGGAAATATCACAACACAAGGGAAAATATTACAACCCATGATTGTCTTCATTCTACATGTTCTACAACCTCCCTTAAACTGGACATCAGAAGGCGTTAAGTACAATGTCATGGATATTCTTCTTACTACTTCGTCTCGAGAAATATTTGAATATTTTACATGGTACTAGGCCATATTGGAATATTCTACGTGGTCCCGGGCCATATTAGAATATTTTATATGGTACCGGGCCACATTGTAATAGTCTACATGGTGCCGGGCCATATTGGAACATTTTACATGGTGCTGGACCATATTGGAATATTCTAACTTGTTTGGGATATACCTTGTATAGGAATATTCTTATCTTGGTCCGTATTGGAATATTCCTACTTGCTCATGGGCCATATTGGAATATTCGTACTTGGTCATAGGCCATATTGTAATACTACTGTATTCCTACTTGGCCTTGCACCATATTGGAATGTTCTTACTTGTTCTCGGTCATATTGGAATATTCCTACTTGGTCCTGGGCCATATTGGAATATTCTAACTTAGTCTTGGGTCAAAGTATTGGAATATTCCCACATGGTCCTGGGCCATACTGGAACATTCCTATCTGTTCTCGGCCATATTGGAATATATCTACTTGTTCCAGGGCCACATTGGAATACCATACGCGTTCACCATGCCCCCAATTAACTTTCAATACCATATTCACATCCCAGAGGCGCACACTGTAATCTACCTCCTGTAGTGTGGCCAGCGACCATACTCGAAATTCTCTCTCTCTCTCACTATCTTAGGATAATAGTAATAATTAATAGTCATTATTATTAGTAATGCAATTATTATTACAGTCTTTCTATCCCTGTCTCTCTTTCGTTGTGTGTGTGTGTGGGTGTGTGTGTGGGCGTCAGTCATTTCGAGTGCAGACTGCAGTTATGCCTCCGTAAGTGGGGATCACCTCTCGTGCGGGTCCTGCATATACACCCAGTTTTGTGTGTGCGCGCGCTATCTGATGAGGGGTTAGTTTATGTTAGTGTTAAGGTGATTTATCTTCAGGTGAAATAAGCTGGGGTGTCTAATCTTCAGGTAATCCTGGCTAATGGGTAATGACCTTACCTGTGGAGGATAGGCCCAGGTTAGGTGTTTTTGTTCATCCCTCTTATCTGGTATTGCAGTACATAGCGTTGATCATAAACTTTGTTGGATCATCTGAAGATTAGACACCCCTGTTTATTTTGCTTGATTAGACACCCTAGCATATTTCACTTGATGATTATATACGGTGAATTAATGCATATATAAGGCAGTATACAATCAAGGTATCAACCGTATTGTGTATCTTTCGATGTTTTGGTCCTACAGTTCGAACAAGCGAATACGAAATCGATTCCATTATTTGCGACGTACCAAAGGTGATCACTGTTCAGTCATAAACACCACATCGTTGAGGAACATGCTACTAAATAAGGTAGAATTTCAACTAATTTGATTACAGCACTAACTTGTCTCTCACCTCGTCTTGTCCTTGAACTACAATCACCCTCATTGATTAGTGATTCAGCTAACCACATGCCGTCGTCCGCCACTATCCACCTGTTGTGTATGTGACAACAGGGGAGTCTGAGGGTCCAGCTGGTGTGTACCCCTGGGAATTTAATGCTCTTCAGGGACGTCATCTGGAAACAAATGACAGATTGACAGGTTAACAAACAGAAGCGAAATACTGTATCTACATACGACTCTCGCGGGACATCACTTACCTAATGATCTTTTAAGGTTAATAGCTGTTTAAAATCTTCAATAAACTCTATTAGATTGTTGTAATTACTGAATATTAAGTTGTAATTACTGAATTCTATGAAAGTGTGCCCATATAACTATTATGTTAACAATGCGTACAATAAGTCGACGCCTTCGAGTCAGAGCGGGCGCATCAATAATCTTTTGTCTCCACAGACACGCCAAACGTGAATTTGAATGTCGGGTTGGAATCTCTTAAGCCCCTAGACCTCAGCTCCCGTCCCATAGCTCAGGGAAGGATGGCGGGAGGGAAGAGGTGAGGTAATAAAAAGGAGAAAAAAAATAATCGCTGGGGTAAACCGTGATCCCATAGAAAGTTACTCATTCTTTATTCCTGAGATTTTAATTATCAAGACATCGTAAATTAAATATTCCCAATGACTGGGTACTTCCTTTTACACAGATAGATGGATTCTTTAATATTCTTACCCACACTTTTTTCCCCTAACTAGAGATATGAGAACGTATCTAACTGGCCCACTTAAGTTATGACACAATGTTGAGGGTAAAAATAATAAAAAAAAATCCTGAGAATTCTAGCATCATTCGTCCTTACGCCCACAACTAAAAATAAAATAAAATAAAATGGGTCACATGGAGTTGAAACACCCCCTGCTTATTTCATCCAAAGGTTAACCATCCTTACGCTAACCTACCCTCTCCCCTCAATTAGTATTAGGGTGTTTAATCCTCACGTGAAGAAAGATAAAATGGGTTAACCTTGACGTTATCCTCAACCCCTAACCGACAAAAATGGAAAGCAAGGAACATGAAACTTCTATTGATGATGGTTGCTGCTAAATGGTTAAAAATAATACGGATCACGTGAAGTTTCCACCCCAGCTTATTTTACCTAAAGATTAACCACCCTAACATTATTTGGGGGGATGGAGTGTTAGGGTGGTTAATCTTTAAGTGAAATGAGCTGGGGTGGAGATTGTTTAGTTGATCCAGTCATAGTGTACAGCAACAGTGTTTGAGAAACAGGATTCAGATTTTTCACTTTTAAGGTAATTTGAGTTTATCTCCCTGCAGGTGGTAGTGATAGCGGCCATCTTGGTGGTAGTGTCAACATCGTGGGCCCTGGAACCTTACCTGATACGTCAATTAGAGAGCAGGTTAGGTCACGAGTGTTCTAGGGGTGAGGGGGGCTGGTCAAGTGAGCCTCAGTCCTAATAGGCTCCAGCTTCCTAGCTCAACTTTATTTAATCTTCAGCAATTTATTGACCATCAGAACTAGGGCCCATAAGATAAGGGCCACCCAGCTTAAACCATTTTAAGATTAACCACCTTCACATTAACCTACCCCCCCTCCCCCTCAAGTAGTGTTAGAGTGCTTTACCTTCAGTTGAAATAAGCTGGGGAGTTAATTTTCTGGTGATCCCCCTTATCCTACCAATGAAGTAGGATCGAGTTGGGGCCCATTAAGGTCAGGTTAGGTTGGGGCCATCACAGGACAGGGGCAGAGAGTATAAGACTTCCTCCAGGACCTGGAGCCTTTAAAGTCCAGGACCCAAAACATAACCCATAAGTAAGTATGAGAATGCCTCTAACTACTTCATACATTATCCTCTTTGCCACTGGTCGGTTTGTCTGCCAACTGGGCAGTCGATCACGTCTCATGTTATGCACTGTTGGCAAGTACTGGGTATGCATCAGCTCCAGAATGCATCTGTGCCTGCACCAGTATTGGTAAAGCCTGGTCTTGAAAGCTCACACTCGGTGCCGTCACAACACACACACTGCAGGTCATTCCAAGATTTCACAACTCTCACTCCAGCATAAGAGTCCAAACTTCCAGCACATTAAGTAATTGCATCAAGCAAGAGCGTCCAGGCATAAAACCATGTTGACACGTCTTTACAGGGTTATTTCATAGTAGATGTTCCATCATGGCATCTCTTATAATGCTCTCTAGTACTTTACACATGATGATCAAGTTCACTGGCCTATAATCATCCGTGGAGTGGTAATCTCCATGTTTGAATATTACTCATATACAGTATCCCACTTTTCAGGTGCCAAGGACCTTTTCCTTATCCATGCTTCTGTAGAGCAGGATTTTAAGGGGCTCAACAAGCTTGTTGCACAACTCACTTAGCACTCTGGGAATTACACTCTCAGGGCTAGGGCTCTTATGAACCTTTAGCCATGAAACTTTTTTTCTAATGTACACCCTTCTGAGAACATAATGCGCATCAGCACTGTCAAACCGTCTTTCCTTAAATGCAGGAAGATTGTTTGCATCCTCTCTTGTAAACACTGAGGAAAAGAATTTGTTTACTGCCTTCACTTTGTCCTGATCTGAGTCTGCATAACTACCATCATCAAGTCTCAGATCCGATACACCCTCTCATGGTTGACTTAAGCACCACCAGTTAGGGGGCAAAATTAGTGTGGTTGTTCGATCCAGCAGGACCTACAGGCACCATAGGCATGAACCTCACTGGTCCAGTTGGGGGTCTGGGTGCCATAGGTGCAGATGTGTTCATAAAAAAACAAAGAAATAAATACGAATACGCATTGCAATTTCTGCATCTGTGTTCCATACAAAACTGGTTGAGAATATGTGGCTTAGGTGCACTAAACCTGTTAAGTATTACCAAAAATAATGTTCATGGTTTCATTTAAAGTTAATAACTTCATGGGTTTGTATAATTTTTCAAATAAATGTACTGGTAGTTGTTAAACTTTACCACTCCACCATGAGCGGCCACCACTGGCAGTGGTCTATTTGGCCCCATAATTATTAACACAGTTGGTAACATAAATGTTGACATGTGTTATGGATATACACACACAGGACAGAAGCAGAGTGGGAGGTGTTATGGAATAAGGAGAGGCTGGCACTATGTCGGGCCCGCTTGCGACACAACTTGGAAGCCATCTGTGGCAAAGACGTGTACCGCAGGTCCCTCACCCCTCCCAATCACCATCACATCAAGCGAAGCACAGACACCTGCCTGAAAGTGCACGGTGAGTACTGTACTGTACTTTGTTGAGAGAAAGTGAGTACAGTGTATTGGTAAATAGCTGACACTTTTATAAGCACAAATCAGTACAAAGAAAAATAAAATTAACTCATGTCAGAAAGATACAACATAGGTACTTTATCACAGCCCTAAGAATAATTGACTACGAGGAAAGGGGTGCAGCTCCACTACCCGCCCAGTTCTAATACTTGTGTAAATTACATCATCTTTGTATTCCCCGACAGATGGTGATGGAGAGAGAGACGTTAGAGACAAGAGGGCCGTATCTGTGAACCTCCCAACCGCCACTATTGAGATCACTCCCTCCAGTCCTGACACTGGCCAACACAACATCAACACAAGGTGAACATGTTTCTACCAGTTGGAACATACTAGTTTGGAATCCAGACTCAGATTTTGATTAAAATTAGGTACCACAGTACATTGAGGACTCGGATATATAACCTTATCAAAATTAATCTAACTTACTCACAGCCAACCTAAACTAGTTTGAGTTGAATTGGAGTCTCGATGTCCAACACAGAACATCCACTTACAGAGTGTTCAAGAGAGCTAATAATGTTTAAATAATAAACCTAAAGGTAGGATGATTACTGTATAGTTTCAACTCTTCCATATTTGAAATCAAGTATGAAAAAGTCATCTCAAATGAGGATCCAATTCAGGGGTAAGAAGTGAACGTTATTATCCATCCATCTTATGAGATTTATTCATAATCTTTACCTCTAGAAACAATTTTGCCAACACAACATATTTCCTATATTGAGTGAATACTAGACAGCTAATCACCCCACTAATATTCATGACAATACAGGACCTCTTACTAGTAGGTACATATTCAGGGACATGGACCTAAAAATTCAACCCAACTTAAGGGCTTGTATACCATGAAAAATCACCTGGGATCATAACACACAACTCCCTTGTACTGAAGAACCTCCCTCTCAGATAGTTATAAAAAAAATGTCACAACAGTACATTCATACTGTACTTTATGAATATTAACATATGTAGAAAAAAGGGTACCCTTGATATTGTCCCTTGAACGCTCTGGAGTCTATGATTCAGTGTCGACATAGGCTCAGTATTCATAACAGTGAAGTAGGTGCCAGTTTAGGTTAAACTGCCTTGATTACCTTGGGTACCGAGTGCCTGGATCTTCTCCATGAAAGATTTAAGATGAAGTGAAAGACAATGTATAAACAAACATCCTCATCACGGTCTCTCTCTCTCTGGCAGGTCTCCATTCTTAAGTGTTCACCAAGCAAATTTGTTTGTGACTACCTGGGTCAGGGGTCGTCGGGGGTCACACTATCGTCGCCGCCGTCAGTCGTCGTCGATAACAGCAGAATGTTGCACCACTGTCGGCTGCACGTGGGAAGAATACGCTGAATACTGTCCTACTTCTAGCCGTCTTCGTCCTGGAGTGACGCCTATTTAATTGTTGTATCTCAATTGTTGTATCATAATGACTTTACATCAATACAAACCCCTCAGTAATAAACTCACAATATGGGAAAGAGTAATGCAATAAAATTTATCCGAGAAAACATAAGACAAATATTATATAAAAAAATCACTCTCCCGATTCCTCTTTACACATTAGTGCTTCTAATATCATATTTATCAAACTACAGCATTACTACACAAAACAGCACAAACTACATTATTCTGTACCAACTTTATATCTTCAGATTTAGTGCTCCAACTTTGCTACAAAATGGTGCTGTCTAAATGTGCAGAATTACCCCCTAAAATAATACAAACTTTTATTTTGGGATTTGTATATGATTATCATCTCTGCCGAATGTTGAAACAGTATTCATATTTGTTACGGTACTCATAAAACACCTTTGATACAATGGAAAATTTTTAAATATAGGTTAATGGTTGGTCATGTTCTGTTTCACATTTTTAAGAGATTATCCACCTCTAGTACTGTCAGCAGATGAGGTGAAAAGCTTCAACACCTTAATATTCATTTTTCTTTGATACATCAACTACCTATTTTATACAGATCCAACAAACACTAAACAAATACAGTAATGTAACTAATTGCCTCTTCTTGTGTGTAGAAGATTCCCAAACTGATATTTGAGAATTATTAATCCAGTATCAATGTCTATAGATGCATTCAAGGGCAGATCCAGGGGGGTGAGACAACCTCCCCTTTCACCAGAAAATTCCAGTATTTTTTCTTTAATGCAGTACTGTACTCAGGCATTTTTGTATAGTAAAAAATATTTACTATTGACTTCAGAATAAGCATCCTGATATCAAGTGCACATGGCTTCAAAATGCCCATGATATTGGTCAAAATTCAAAAAAAATTCTGGGGGGCTTACAGCACCCCCAGCTGGGTGGGCTCACTGTGCTCGCCATGTTCCCCCCCCCCCTTTGATATTCCTGGATCCGCCCCTGGCATTTATTTCCTTCTTTACGTCTTGGATAGCATTTCCTGGGCACAAAGATTTATTCTGAAAATGAGAGACTGGGATCATTATCTGTTACTAATATACAGTACTGTATTTAATCCCTTAAGCATGATGACTTATCATCATTAAGATGATCACTGAATGCTCTCGAGGATGGTGGCTCAATCCAGTAGGGCTGATATATTAATTTATCATCCACATGGAAGTGGACCAAGTCAATGTCTTGAAGCAGTTTTAATGTGTTAATACAGTGTGCAAACCCTTGGTGACTATGCTAACTCAGCACAGCACAGTAAATTGGCACATGTACCAGAACCGATTCAATGTACAGTACCAAATAATGTTGGTATTGAACAGGTAACCTTATCAAGCAAGTTGATAAAAATCATTTCTTTAATGAAACCTCGTTAATCAATTAATATGGTTGGGGATGAAGGACTCTAGTAATAAAGTACCTACCGTATATTCAATAATCAAAACACCCCTAACATGAGATACACAGTAGTACTCTGAAAAGGTGTATAGCTCCAGTGAGATATAGTGTATAGGCCTACTGCAGAAAATCTTTTGGTGCATATGAGAGGAGTCGCATGTTTAGTTACAAATTGATGCTCAATGCTGCCTTTGGATATGCCTCAGCTTAGATATTTTGCCAACTTTATCAATTAAACTTGAAAATATCAACCAGAACAAAAAATATGATTCAACGAGGTTTCACCATATTGTACTTCTGCCCAAACCTAAATTCAATGGGTAAGAGATTCACTAAATTTTTCTAAAATCTTTTCAACAATATAGATATTAAAACTTGATGACGATTGAAATACTACACAGAAAAAAGGAACGTAATACAAAACAAAACCTTCTGAATATTACTGGAATGCCTCTCTTAACTATACTGTACATATTGTAACTTGTAAAACTAATGTGACAATGTAAAAATGGTCTGAATTTAGAACATACTGAGGTTAGATTGTACTGGCTGATACAACCTTACTTCTTTATATTCTAAGGTATTGATAAAATACTGTATACAGTATAATTGCAGGAGTATAAAAAAACATTGTGCATTATGAGATACAAATTATTTCAATAAATTTATAATGAATACAGTACAGGTACATGAAATCTGTACTTAACACTGAACTAACCTAAACATACAAATATGAATGAAATCTTGCCACAAATATTCACTTCAATAAACTGACCCTGAATTCACAAACATTCATCCTTTCCATTACTCTCCCACAACTAAAGATAACAGAACACATCCAATTATGGCTAGATTAATGGAATGCTGAGGCTGCTGTAATGACTACCTCAAGATGTAATTTAAAATTGTGGCTAATTAAGAACATTACCACATTATGTACAGTACTTGGGAGTATTTTTAACATTATCCTTTGACAGTTTAAACCAAGATTATTTTATACCTTTCATCAGTGTACTGCATCATAATTACACAAGAGAAATACATTATAATAATCAAATAACATATGGGAATAAAAACCAACACAATATTTTGAGATTTAATACAAACTGACTAGATATAAAATTTTGGAATCGCTACTGGCAACTTGTACAATTTATCGTCCAACACCTAAATACAAATTAACAAGCATCTTAGCATAACTAATTATAATAAAACGTACTGAACAATATAAAACTATTAAAGGAAAAAAAACCGAGATATGAGTAAATTTGTGTATGAAGTAATGGCATTTAATGTCTTAACTCTCCCCTGTTGCAGTTTCCTCTGTCTTGAGTGACTCTCCTTCTAACCCTTCCCTCACCTTCCCTCCACTCAGTGTCTGTACCACTTGGTCCATCACGTATAACAATGGGAGAGGAGGAAAGATTAAGAGATCACAAGCAGGGAACAGGAGAAGGTTCCCAGATTCTATAAGCTCACTTAACCCACCATGGTCAGGGATTATTTCAAGGAACATGTGTAAGAAGTGGGAATTACCTCAGCAAAGTCAGAAATTAAAAATAAATAAATTAATAAAATAAAAATGAAGAACAAAATGGATATGAAAAAGAAATAAAAATTTTCAACTTCTTAAGGATAACGTAGACTACAATAAAGTGCTCACAAATGCACTTATCTTTATCATTATCTTAAATCAATTACTGTAACTAATTCCAATGGTGTAACTGAATAGAAACTTAAAACCTTATTAAGAGTTATTAATGATAATATATCAATATTGCAACTTCTTGACTAGGAATATACAGTATACTACGTAGTTAGAATCAGGAAATTTTGACTAATTCATTAATCCTAACAAAAAAAGTTAATGAAGCTTTTACCACTACCTATATTATCAAGTTTATCAAAATTATCAAAGATCAATTGATCTCTTCCTCCGATAACCAACTGTATTACATGTATAGTACTTTCATCCTCGCAAGTCAAATGGATCCCAGCCCTAACAGACCCATCCTAACCAAACCAAACCTAAAGCCCATTTGGATTTGACCCAACTGTTTTGCTATTATTAAGTTAGGTTAGGATTGAGACCATTATGACTAGAGGTTAAATTCATACTAAAGTCAATTTAACCAATCGTACCTTCCACAGAGTCGAATCCAATTACTTTCCTAACTACACATCCAAGTAATTCATACAAGAGAAAAATATAGCGTTTATCAGTCAACAAGTTGGTCCTTATGTTACCTCTATAAACCCCATAGCTTTAACACCTCTTGAAAATATTTGTTTCTTTATATATTACATTAAAATGAATCATCTTGTATCTAAAATAGATTCTCTGTATAACCTTATTCTCTATTTATCATTTACTTCCTCTACACTTAAATACACAATAAACACATTGGCCACAGTACATCATTCCTGTGTGCTCTTTCCGAAAACAATAACAAATGAATGTACTGTAATTAACTAAATATCTGAATAACCATGACTAAATCACCTTAATAATTAACCAATAATAATTTACAAATTAGCTTATATTTTAAGAGTCAACTAATCAACCGAATAATTGAATAACTAGTGACAATATAAACATTAGTGGAGGTTGTCAGTCAACCATTCTCTCTCAACATTTATTACCCCAAAATGTGACCTCTTCGTAAGTACACATTCAGGTACTATATTCAAGAGCCTGTGTGTGCCCACCACCTACTGACAATATGAGACTGGAGTGAACAGCTAAGTAAACAGTTAATGACAAACATACTTCCCCAAATCCTTCTGACCCCCTCCTCCCCCCCCCAAAAAAAATCTAAAACACCCCCAAACTACTCCTGAAACCCCCCTCCCCAAAATCCTGAAAAAAAATCCTTTTGAAACCCCCCCCAAATCCCTCTGAAACATCTAAATCAGTTACCTGACACTTTCCTTTGGCGAGACAGATATTACAGTCTATTATCACAGCACAAAGTCATAGACAATAATCATATATTAAATGTTAGTTCGTATTTGTTGGTAATAATCACATCCTAAGACAAAATGACATTGATATACTGTAAGCATTTCTTTTAACATTGATCAAAAGTAATATTACATAGGACAGTGATGTTTGCAGTATAACAGAAGAGAAATCTAATCTAATTACTAAAAATGCACTTAAAAGATGAAGATTCATAGATTGGTTAATTATTTTTTTTTACAACAATCAATAATAAAACTATTGTTACAATATTGTAATCGGAAAATTGGGCAAGAATATTTTGATGAAAACAACCCAATAACTGCAGTGACCCCTCGTTTAACGAACTTTTCGGTTAACGAACGACCTTCTGGAACGGATTGAGTTCGTTAACCGAGGGGTCACTGTACCGGGTAGTAAGTAATTCCCGTCAATTATAATTTACAACACTTAACTTCTTCAGGGATCTAACTGTGTATTCTGGGAAATATCCGAGACATTTACTGAACTACAGATCTCTCTTGTACTGCAACCAAACACTTACATTTTTGGTGGATAAATGCCTTTAAGATATACTGTGCTATTATGACTGGTAAGTAATTTCCTTCATACAGCAGTTATTTTGTGTTTACAGTGTAGGTGTCAAGAAATTGTTTGTTTTTTGGAATTGGATTCCTGTTCATTGTAAACAATCAGAGAAAAGTTCACTGTTAGGTGGAGTGTTCACCCTGAATTATGGAGGTTATTATTTTTAATGAGTCAAAGAGAACCCTGAATTAATTAATACAATGACTCACATCATGGCTAGTAACACTGTACACATCCAGTATATATCTGGAAGTGAAACTGACCTATATCTTGAGGTAAGTGGTGTAAACATACCGTTTATCACACGTGCTTATGAACACCAAACTAGACATGTATGCGAGATAACTGGAAGGATTTATGTCGCTGATGAATACTGTACTGTACTGTATGTGGAATTTAACAATAGTCAAGATACAAATCCTTTTAAAGTTTATCAGGAAAATACAAGAGAAAATAATCAATTATATCTTTCCTTCACAATAAAACTGAAAGTTTAAAGTACATTTGTACCTTTCTCATGTTCATATAGACTCACAGCACAGCTATCACAAACCTCTTTCAGTAATGCCAATGTATTATTCGACTGCCAAGGGCTTAATATCTAGATTCAGAACATTTGGCACAATTTTTTTGGTTAGTTGCTTTTGGAACATTTCAGAAAGAATCAGCGAATGTTCATTTAGTTTTAAGTATAGTAAATTATTTTATATTTAAATTGTATTTGGTAAGTAATGTATATGTCCCCAATGACCCAACACAGCACATAGAGAGACTAATCAGGTAATCCAAGAATGCATATAAAGAAGTCTAAAAAATTTAATTGCTTGATGTTGGAGGCAAATTATGTAAACTTAATCTTGGGAGGGAGAGAAGTAGGTACAGATGTATGAACAAAGAGACTGAGACAGACAGACAGATGCAAATCAATGTGCTCAATCATATTTAATTGGGAAATTTTTTTTTTTTTAAATATCTCTCTAAACAAATAATCATGGCTTTATTAGTTATTGATACAGTATAGCATCAGCAGAAAAGTGACATTTCTCACCTACAAACAGATCCACCACCTATGAGCAGACCATGGCAGTATTCCATATAATTCTCTTACTGAGTAAAATCTACAAGTAAGATTAAAAAACAAAGCCAATTAAAGTTCATATTGATGAATTCAACTGTCAGAGGGAGATTCTCATGATAAAAACTCCAAAATAATAAATCCTTATGGTTATTATATCTTTCATCTCCAATAATCTGCACCTATAAGAGATACAGTATCATGCTGAAGAGGTCTGCTGTGGGTAAACAATGTGGCTCATTCCATTCTTGAATTACGCTGCAACCCCATCAGTGAGAGTGAAAAACACATACCCCCTGTATGTAATGCAAAAATGTGTCGGTGGATTCTGTAGACCTTGCTATATACAACAGTACAAGTGTTAAAAGGAGGATTTTTTTCACTAAATGACTACACAACGATGATGAAACCTTCACATTAACAGCATCGAGACGAAAGCATGTGCTAATTATTATCACATTATTTCATGCAAATGAAATCTGGATAGACGTCCTGTAAAAGTATCACATTATTTCATCCTGTAGAGCTCCCAGGTGAGTGTGTATGTGACTTGTCGTCTCATACTAATGAGAATCTGGACAAAATGACACACATGCATGACTACAGTACCATGTTCTGTCACACCAACGAACATCTAGGTGAAAGGCATGAGTGGTCATGTTATTTCTCTGAATGGATGTGTTCCTGTATAAAGGTGATCAATATATAAAACTAGACAATCTGATAACTGGAAATAAAGTAAGGCAGATATGAATCAGTCCATGAGATTATGTAGGAGTTTCTTCGTGCCCTCATATGCCAAGAAGAGCGCCCCCGTGGCAGGGAAGGTACGCAACACGGTTGGACCCAAACCATTGTACAACGCAAGAATTCCTGTGGACAGAAAAGCCCTTGAAGACTAGTAACTCTACAGGCCAAAGATTCCAACTGTAGTGTTAAAGCAAGTAAGCCTTAATCCTGAAGTACAAGAATTCCTTAAATATAAAAGCCTTTACCTCACAGCAGAAAAATTGCTATGTATAAACACAAAAGCCTTAATCCTAAAGCACAAAAACTCCTATAACCTTAAACATAAAAAGTCTTAATCCTATGACAAAACAATTCCTACAATATCTTAACCATAAAGCACAACATTTCCTTAAAATAAAAAAGGTTTAATCCCAAGACAAAATGAGTTTACAAAACAAAAAGCCTTAGAAGAATCAGATATTTATCCAGTGCAAGGAGTCCTGTCACTATATAGAGCCTTTGATGACTTAAAATAATCCTCCAGCACAAGACTTCTCAAAAGATAAAAGCCTCTGAAGATGTGAAGGAATGTATGGTAGCAAATGTAAAGAAAATCGTACTGCATTTAATCCAGAGCAAAATGCAAACATACAAAGTTGCCAGCAATATATCTACCAATTTACAAGCGGATGATACTGGTTATGTTGCTATAAGCCTGACAGTTGCTAGACCCTCCCATATTTGCTCACCCTGGGCAATTCCACAACCTGCCTGACCAGAATTTTTTATAAATAGCTCACTGTTGCATAGATCCTGCCGCATTATTATAATACTTTTATGTAAATATTTTTTAATAAATACTCCCCCATAGTATGCAAAATTTTTTTTATTAAATTAAACCTACTATGGACATGGAGGTGACAGACCACATGAAGTACACACAGTGGCCTAAGCGATGCTGCAGCTTTATTAAACCAAAAACGTCCAAACCCAAATTTGGATTGTGCCAAACGCTTACAAGTAGCAGCAACATTAAACCAATGAATTTATATTGATAACCACAGTTCTTGTACAATGGTCAATGTTGGTAGAAGTGCCACAAACAGGCCTGCGGAGTTCCACTGTTGATTTTTTTTTACCTTGTCAGTAATTATATTTTTGACACCCCATCATGAATTACTATGAACACAATTATATGAAGTTTCATTTGAATTCCTCCACTGGTTAAGCAATTACAGACTAAACACATAAAGTAGTAGGAAATGGACAGTCAGACACGGATTGCAACAATGGATTACCTGAAGATTAGCTTTCAAGTTTATTTCACCTGTTGATTAAATACCCGAATGCTACCAGGAGGGTTTGGTTATGTTAGTTCAGGTTAGATTAGCATACATTAGGTTAGGTTAGCTTAGGTTAGATTTGGTTAAACTAAGTTAGGTTAGCATCAGGGTGGGTAAACTTGCAAGTAAAATAAACTGGGTGATAAACTTCAGGTGATCTGCACTACTATATACTGTACACTCCCTAACAATTCTGGAAAGCATGAACACTGCATTAGTCAAAAGAAGCATTAATGCAGAATGTAAACAAACCTGGATTTCAAGCAAATATGTCTTACCTTCGTTCCTGTAGATTCCAAGAAGTACCTTTGACATAGGATCAGTTGAGCCGGCCACCTGGATCCGGGACTTAACTACATCGGCAGGAAAGATGGCAACCCACAAGATAACACCAGCAATCCCACCACAAAACATCGTCTTCACCGGTCCTGGGGATTTGTAATTCAAGTGATGAAAAAATTTGCTAGACAGTCTTGATCAATAAACAATTTCAAGCTAACAGTATAAAAACTTCCAAAAAACCTTGCAAATAAGAGAAATGAATATATCTGCAATATCAAATTGTAATTTATCTAGTTCTGTGTATGTAATGACAAAGCAAGACCCTTATACAGTATTACTAATCTATTCAGTGCATGAACCAACTTTATGAGAAAATGGAAAAAATCTAATGTGGTGCCTGTGATTATTTCAAACCCATAAATATAACATTTCATGATCTATCTCAATTTTAGAGATAAAATTATAAATTGAATATGGAGTTTACCAATTTCATCTTTAGTTTTTCCTTCAGGTGTCAAGAGTGTCCTGCTGGCCTCGTAACCTCCAAAGAAGAAGAAGTATCCCGGCATCTCTCTTGCAAACGTTGAAGTCAAGCCTCGGAAGAGCCCGGGAACACCATCTACTTTTAGGATTTGTCTAGTGAGTTTCATTGGTCCAATTCGTTCCTGTAACATAATCCATATTACAGTACTGTATACTGTACAGTACATACTGTTAAATAAACATGCTTCTACCATCTTTGTCTCCTCTATCACCAATAACCCTATACTGTACATAATGATACACTACAAACACAGATACTCTACCACCTGATACTTTCCCAGCATTTTCTTAAACCAAATATTTCATATTTCTCAGTTACATTCTGAGTAACAACACTGTTTACAAAATATAACAACTTACCGGTTCTCTATTCTGTGTGAGAGCCACTTCTCGCATAGCTTGTAATTGACACTTGATCAGCTCTGTTGGACAAAGGGTGAGTGAGGAGAAGAAGGCTGCAAGAAAGCCCGCTGATGCATTACTGAAGGCTGACAGGTCTTCTATTTTCTGTGGATATAAAGGGAAGTGAGCACTGTAATGTACTTGAAAATATCAACACTAGATATTAATTTTAACTTAAATCTTATCTAAAAATAAATACCTGTAAAACAAATACCACACCGAAGTGAAACATTTTAAACCAATGAACAGACAGGTGGATGTACAGTACTGTATTAAAGGATGAGCAGATGCACACACACACACACACACACACACACACACACACACACAGAAAATAAACCCTTGTTGTCCACTTGACCTCCAATTGGTGTAAGGACTACTGTATACATTTTTTGCTTTAAGCACTAGACAATTCCTTCACTCATGAACCCTTTAAGATACTTCCTGTGAACTACACATTTCTACCAGAATTTTCAGTTGAAAAATATTTTCAGGGACCGAGCATTACGGGACTAATGACTTAAGTCAGTCACAACCAAAGTCTTTAATCGTGTCTATACTTGGAAGAATTATAAGAATGGGATACAAGTCCTAATCCAAAGAAGCTATCTTTATGTATACTTCATTTGGGACCTCTGTACTGTACTTACCTTTGTACCAGTACAAGATGCCACAATTTTTTGACACATTCCATACGCAGCAAAAAGTACAGAGTTTTCAGCAATATTTGCCGCAAGAGCTGGGGCAGTACCAGCATAGAGACCTCGGACACCATCTCGCTTTAGGGTATTGAAGAAGCAGCCACCCATACCCTTGTACAGGTCCGGGAATGTCTGCATCTTTACTTTTACAGTATCTAGTGGTTGCCCAACGTAAACAGCGGCAGCACCACCTAACATGAGTAGAGAAAGTAGGTATTAATTTATTATCTACTTAGGACGATGCTTAAACTTTACTTCCACTCTTTACATACCACAGTCCAGTTAAAACTAAGTGTCAAAATATAAGTAAACAGTAAATACTTTCACTATACAGTATACAAAAGAACAAATATGCAGCAACAATAGTGTTCATTTAAATCACATTACAAACTGAATTCTTTATTTCGTGATGAGTAATTCAGGTACTCACCCATAGAGCCACCCATGAGATCAATGAATGCATCCTTGTAATGCTGCATCTTGGTATATGTCTTTAACTATCTGTAGCCGAGTGTTTTGTTGCTACTTTTCTTGAATGTTATCCTTAGCCAATACCCAATGTTCTGTTATATAGGGACAAAAATAGAAGTTAGATACAGTATAGGTACCTGTATATGGACACAATATTATCTAAGGTACCCCTCACTCTATACCCAACTAAAACCAAAATATAACCCCCAAATAACATGAAGGTATAGATGGAGGAGGTTTTAGTTAGATTTAGACAATTTTAGGGTAGGTCAGCTTCCCGGGGATGTTTGTTAACTATTGTTGATCAAATCCTTGGCATCAAAATAAGATCACTGGACAGTACAAGACTTAAAACAGATAAGTTATAAGAAGTATATAGGTAAACAAAGTCTTACCATATACCCCCCATAATGTAATGCAAATATTAAAACTGCAGAAATGTAAGACAATGATCTGTTCAGTGAAAATGGGAGGAGGGGAGGTAGAATAAACAAAATAATGATCACGATCAATTTGGTGAAGCTATGTGCCAAGACAACAGACACAACATGAGTAAAGCAGTAATTTTAGTTGGGGAACAAATACTAAACGTAAGCATAGTGGTTTATTATATTCCTTATCACAAAAATAAGCACTGCCAAATTAACTGATATCCAGTATATTAATGCAATGTGTTATATTAGGATGTACTGCATATAAATTGGTCCAATCTATTTATATTGTAGTGGATTCCTCCCCTACAAACGCTTTTGTCGCTGAGTAGCCGATCCCGCGAATTCCCCAGTGTATGCCTCGTGGTTTAGGTCAACCAGCGCCACCTTACATGACGGAGGTCAACTATCAACCCACGCCTACCCCTGCCTTATAACACCTGACACCGCTGTGACCACTCTCTTTCTACTGACTGTCACCAGCAAGCAACACCTCCTCCTCCACACCAGCCTGGCGGCTCCCGCCGGCGACTTTGGCGCCCCTCAAGCTGCGTGTCCTCCTCTGGGCACCTCACCAACCAGCTCTCTCTACTCAACGCTTGTAACCATGCTGCCTACCCAGCAACAAGCTGCATTGTACATCCAATACAACATGTATACAGTGAGCACATCGTGAGTTTCCTTTCTCCATCCCATCCTGAGTGTGAACCAACATCACATAACCCCACAATATACTGTAGCTAGATGCATTCTGTGTTGCCTGCAGTGAGCACACCTCCTTCAGTCTCCTCTTACAAAATTATTTGTAGCCAATCAACTTCAAAATCTTTTAGGATAGTAGGTAGTAGGCAGCTATCAAACAGGGGGGTACAACCGCCTGGGAAGATATTGGAAGCATAATGTGTTGTCTAATGGTAGACCCTGCTGCCATATGGCATCACGAAAATTGTGACCAAGTCCCAGGTTGCTGATCTGACTTTCTGCTATATTTACACACTATTGCAGGGTTTCAATTGTTTCTCTTACTTTGACAACACAACATACATAATGTTTATCATTTCTCATTCTTGATTTATTTTTTTCGATTTTGTATTTATTTATGATTATGATTGTTTAATAATATTTTTTTTTAGTATTTTGTTATTATTAATTATTATTATAATCATAAGTTATTATTATTATTATTATATTTTCGCCCCCCAGGCCCTGATGTGGGTCAGTAACCTGTGCCCGGATGGGCTTATCCCCGTGTAAAAAAAAAAAAAAATACACGAGGTATATACAATTATTAAAGCAAAATCATTATAAATTGCAAGAAGCTTTTGGTAACGGTGAAGCTTTTCAACAAACTTTGCAATAGTAATTTAAAGGCACATAAAATGTCAATTTTAGTTCGTCACTAGTTTTTCTTAATTTCAAATGTATAACTTTTAAATGCATATTAGTAAGAGTGATTCAAGTTATATAATTTATCAAAGCAATTAAAAACATGATAACAATGAAGAATTTTTTTTACACCATCATGTCGATTGTCGCACACCTCACAGGAACTGAATACCTGTCCATACTGCATCACACCGGTAACAGCGCCTGCAGCATCATTTGCGTTAAAACTTGTTTTAACGCAAATATCAAGAAATTATAAAAAAAAATAGAGTAAGAATGTAAGTTTCAATACTACCTTTTAATTCTCATGATGCAGCCTGAGTGACGAACCTGTAGTGGAATTCTCCCCTACAAACGCTGTTTGTCGCTGCGTAGCCGACCCCACCAATTCCCCAGTGTATGCCTCGTGGTCTAGGTCAACCAGCGCCGCCATACACCACGGAGCGGGGGTCAACTGCTAAGCCACGCCTACCCCCGCTATTTAAGACCTGACCTCGTGGTGATCTGTCTCTCTCTCTCTCTACCTACACCAACCAGCCAGCAACACCTCCTCCGCCGCTGCCTGGCGGCCTTCGCTCCTCCTCCGCTTGCCTGGCGGTACTCTCTCCCGCTGGCGAGCATGGCGACCCACAAGCTGTCCTTCTCTGAGCGTCCTCACCAACCAGCTCTCTCTACATCACGCTTGTAACCATGCTGCCTTCCCAGCACCAAGCTGCATTGTACATCCAATACAACATGTATATAGAGAGCACATTGTGAGTTTCCTTTCTCCATCCCATCCTGAGTGTGAACCAAACATCTCATACCCCACAAACCCCACGAATATATTTTACCTTGGTAAACTATTAATCATTCTGCTGCTTACTCAACAAACCATGCCGAGTGTTTATGTTCTTGTAGCGGCCAGAGGCAAATCCGGATTAGGAGTATTTTTTGCTTTGCAAGCAATTTTACTAAAACATGCCAACAACTCTTTAAAAATACCATGAACTTAACTGAAATTTCGTGTACATCACGCTAGTAACCACGCTGCCTTCCCAGCACCAAGCTGCACTGTACATCCAATACAACATGTATACATTGTGAGTTTCCTTCCTCCATCCCATCCATAGTGTGAACCCAGACAACCCGTACCCCACAATATGTTGAATAAGTTTAAATTATGGAATTAAAAAGATATGTCATTGTAAACAAAGTATTTGTATTAAATAAATACCAGGTTTAAAACTACCGAGTTAAACGACGGTATTTAATGTTGGTGTAAACACAAGAGTACGCAGTAGTAGGTTGTTAAAGGCCAGTGTATTACGAATGGGTTTAAATAGATGCATTAAAAATACTAAAATCACACTTACTTTGCGGGGCATTAATTTCGTGTTAGTCAAGCAGATTTTACCAAAAGAGTATTATTATTACCTCAGCTTTATTGTTTAAACGACATTAATTTCGCGACAGTTGAATGATTGTAAGTTAGACATTAGCTTCGCATCAGTATACAATATTTTCGCGCCAAGTTAAGTTAGTTTGAATATTATAATTTTCGCGCCATTATTATTGACAGTACGACAACCTATTTTTGCGCTAGTCTAAATTGTTAATAAGATCTTATTTTAGCGCTAGTCAAGATAGATGTTAATAATAATCTATATTAGCGCTAGTCTAAATCATTGTTAATAAGAATTTATGTTAGCGTTACTATAAACAATTATTCAAAAGATGATATTTTCGCGCTAGTTTATATAGTGTGTTACAAAGGCCGAATTTAAATATTGGAAGTACACAACACATTTCAATTGACGAGATATTTAAATATACAATGTTCAATTAAAAATGTAACCAAATATTGACATTAACAAACAAACCTCAACTAAAATTAAGTTAACCCGATCAATTAACACAATATCAAAGGCAACAAAAGTAGTATTGCCGTCACAACATTCCCTGAACATATTGTTCCAAGAGTTCACACAGCTCCCCCAAAATGTTTGTCATTAACACATTAACCTTAATTACCTATTCCTAAAATCGTTTACTTACTATTTAATATATGTTGCTTTTCTTATTCAAAACAAAAGGGCTAAAGATAATATAAAGAGTACTTCCACATAGCAAATTTCAAAACATTACAGAAATACAATTATTTCTTTTACTTTATACTTTTATCCTCTTCACCACTGATCCATTTCAGATATGTGGATCTGACAAGAATTAAATACTTAAAAGTTTAATTTATCTCAGTAAAATGTCCCAACTGTAATCGATAATGTAGAAAACATGATAGGAAAACACCCTACCGTTTCCGTACCATGTTTGTCTTTTACGGGGTCAAGTAAGTTGTCGCCGCTTGAATGAGGCCATGTAACACACTACTATTCACTATATTTACCACTTATCTAGTTCACTATGGCCTCAGGTAGTAAGTCATCGTAATGTGTATGTTACTGTAATAACATCATTATTTCACTGAGTAACAATGATGTAAATGCACTATGGACGATATATTGGAAATTTTAGTAATGTTTCGCAGTAATTTCTAAGGTGAACAGTACCTCGATTTCTTGGGTTCTCCAAACACGTAACAGATAATACTGTAAACACGTCACTAACTGTATCAGGCTACGTTACTTCCCAAGCCAGCAGCGTTGTGTGGTGGACCGGTGGCACTGACCCACTCTGTCCCGCCAGTGCCAGCAGCCAGGAGTGCCACACGTTTCCTTGTGAAATAATAGTGTTAGTCGTTCCCAGTATTCACATCTAGGCAGTGACATGTATTCTATGGCAGTAAGACCTGGGGCCAATTTAAGATGAGGTGTCATCAGTCTTCGAAAATTTAGTTCTGAATTAAAATTAAGTAATTATAGGTTTGTGGTACCACCCAACCGCCCTCCTCCATCACGAATATTACCCCTTCACCCCCACCATGCCAGCCCTTACGCTCGCCCTATAGCCCTTGCCCTCGAATCTCAGATTCGTTTGTCAAATTTTGACTTTAATTTGCTTTTTGGAAAGGCATCTGACCGACTCATTTTCTATTTCAACACAAAGAATCTGACCTAAATGGCATCAAAACTGCATTGATTCACCGTAACTATATAAATACAGTACGTTCGATTACCCGAAATTAAGGGAACAAATTTTACATAAAAATCTTGGTGAAACTGTGTCCTGCCTCTCCCATCGTAAAGGTTCCAACAAAATTTGTGAGTTAATTATTATAGCAAAGATTTTATATTTTAATAGTTTCTCAAATTTACGAAATACGACAAAAATTACATAATGTGACCTTGGTTCAAAATCGGGGAACTGGGTTAAACTAAAGTTAACCTCCTGGGAATTTGGCGCTCAACTGTGCCTCAAGAATAAACCATACCGCGTGTTGGCCGCGCCCCCACCAGCTGGCCAATGGTGGAGAGGATACGTTCATGACGTTCTATGACATCATATTCACAGCGCCAATCATGAACCACCCACCACTATAACGATGCTTACTTACGCCACTTGAGAAACGTGACGCATGGGCAGTGGAATTTTCCCAAATTTTGTTCACTCGAAAGACAGAATGCATTTGGTGTTTTGTGTGTCGAATGGTATGTATGTATGTATGATGGGCGTCCGCTGGACCTTTTCCAGAGGAGCGGAAAAAATCCCGATGGACAAACCTTCCTCAGTTAAAGTGTATGGTAGGGCAGAATCCTCCGTTTTTTTTTTACTCCATATTTCTCAAACTTAGGTTGATTTGGGTTTTTATCCTAGAGTTTTTGTCTGAAGGGATTTTGTCCTAAACTCCGCAAGGGGATAGGCTAGGTCCCACGATCGTTTTGATAGGCTTAAATTTTAGTGTTTTAGTGTAACCTTAACTTAACCTTACCTGATATGACCTTAACCAAACCAAACCAATTATATGGTTCACTTCATGGCTAAATATTATAGCCAAAGTCTGGGCTAACATTAAACGGATCACCTTAAGTTAGCCACCCCAGTTTTTTCACCTGAATATTACGCACTGCAGCTTTTTTCACCTGATGACTAAACAAACTAACCTTACTAAATCTAATCTTACCTAACTTAAATTGAACCTAACCGAACATACAGGTAAACTAACAACTTAACCACCCATGTCGCGTTAGGGTGTTTAAGAATCAGGTTAAATAAGCTGGGGTGTCTTAATCTTCAGGTAACCCAATCAAACTAAAAACAAAAAATGTGTTAGATTAACTAGAACTCACAACAAATACAACATTGTCTTTTTAACCCACACTAAACCCAACCTCCCGTAAACTAATTATATTCAATGTAAAATTAATAAAATCTAATTAGTATTGGGAATAGCTTGTGGATAATGTCAGCTGGAGTATCTTATTACGAACATAATTATGCAGTACTGTATTTAGCAATAAACAAGAGAATAAATAAAAGTAATTTCCTCCTTCAGACTTACACAAACTCACTAGTACATTATACTGTACTGTATATCCAAACAGAAACTTGAAATAAAAAAATATATAAATAAATAAATGTTAATAAAAAAACGAATTGAGAAAAACTTAGGTATTTTAGTTTTTGTCATCTGGGCTAGGTTAGTTTAGGTTTGTTAAGTTAGATCAGATTAGTTCGGATATCTAAATACAGGGATGACCAGAACTAAAATTATACCGGAACTTATTCAAACATGTTCTACTTTAAGTAACTGGTATATCACTTTCAGGCATTAGCCACAACAAGCAGGGTAAACACTATAATGACTCTTATATTATCTCCACCAGAATAATAAACCTCAGATTAACTCAACATCATATTGAGGAGGAACCAAACACTGCATAACTTAACACTGTAAAGTTAGAGAACATAAACAAAGGTCAAGTAAAGGAACAATTTAAGTACAGTACAGATGACCACAGCCTAAATTTACCCAAACCCGAACCTCATCCTCACCATACACTTGAACAGTACAAAAGTATACACTACTTACCTCCATATAAATATATCCTGAGTCCAGACCAACTGTACCACACTTGCACTGTAGTGGAGTACGCTACAGCACCACGCTACAGCAGCCATGATCGTCTCCCTCTCCGCCGGCTAAGGTGGCGGGACAATGACATATAATTCGCAGGCACAGTGCTGATGCCAGGTCGCCTATTATAATACTATTTACCTAACTAATCTGATTTATTTAAAACATACACATTATACATTAATATATATATATATAACATCTTACACAGTTATTATATACAGGAACAAAGTAATATAAAATATAGCCCTACCTTCTGAACAAGCAGTGTAATTACGTCTGAACAGGTAAGGTATTATCTCTAAATCAAATATATTCGGTGCCGCATAACAACAGACCGCCCAAGTGGCTAACAGGCCGATCAGTGGCAAAGAGGATATAGTATAGTAAAGATTTTTTTTCTCTTGACCACGGACACCAGGTAATAAGGAATTGTTACTTCCTCCAGTTACTCGTACTGTACCTTGCTTGGGTTTCACACACACACACACTGGTTTAACATAAATTTCAGGACTAAGGAACCCCCACAGGTCCCTTGCTACAATTCCAACAAATAATGAATATGACATTGTAGCTGTAGCCTACAAAATATCTCACATTCAAATGCTGGGTTAATCTACTGCTTGTCTAGATTGAACATTTAAGTCTTGTTTTCTCCAGTCTACCACCCGTAAACCATACACTTCAAAGAAAATGAATTCGCTCCTAAGTGAAACCTATGACTTTACCAAAGACGCAGAGTTGTATTAGTTTTTATTTTTGTTTACGGGATTAGCCCACCAGGGCACAGATCAATGACCCACATCAGGGTCTGGGGGCGAAAATATAATACAGTACTACTAATAATAAAGGACTATAAAAAATAAGATTAATGGTGATTAACGATATATTTACAGTATGTTGTGTTGTCAAAGTAAGAGAAACAATTGAAACCCTGCAATTGTGTGTAAATGAGGCAGAATGTCAGATCAGCAACCTGGGACTTGGTCATAATTTTTTTTTATGTTATGTATATGGCAGCAGGGTCTACCATTAGACAACACATTATGCTTCCAATATCTTCCCAGGCGGTAGTACCTCCGTTTGATAGCTGCCTAGTACCTACTACCATTAAATTAACCAGTAAAATTCTTCTTGGCAAGGTTTGCTATGCTGACAAATTCCTATTTCCTATGATGAAAATTCCCAATTCTATGGTGAAAACCCCATTTTCAATAATAAAAAATACCATTTTCTATTTTGAAAAATACCATTTTATATGATGAAAATTCCCCTTTCTATGATGAAAATTCCCATTTCCTGTAAAGAACCTATTTTTACGTTAAAATTTTCCATTTTATGATTACAATTCCTAGTTTTCTATTATTAAAATGGCAAGTTTTTGCCACTTGTTTTTCTATTACCCAGTGTTTGAATCATTATATCTGACCAAGCACCTAAATCTGTCCAGAGGTACTGGACTGTACTTTGAAATGCTTAGATTTTGCTTGGGGGGGAGATAATGGGAGGTGTCCATCATACTTTATAAAATTTCATAATTTGTAAGAGCAAGAGCCCCTATTATTTTGAATAATTACCTTTACAAAACTTTTAGGAATACCCTGGCAAAGGTGTGTTTCTTAATGAATAACAGATAGGGATTACCTGGATGTGGTCAGTGGTCCTGGATGACTTATAGATCTCTTGAAAAGATTAGTCCTGCTTGGTGATTCACTAGATTTTGTAGAGATTTCCAAGACAAGGTTAGTGTTCTTGGGCTCTTTTGGATTTCATAAATTTTTATGGTTTATGCACAGAATTTACTACAGAAAATTTTAAGTGTTGAAATTTGGCTTAAGTACTATACTCATTGAATGGTTGCTCTTCAAAATTTTGTTTACCAAGGCCTTGTGTTACTTCCAACACTCTTAATGTCTATGAGCTTCTCCATGCAGACCTTAGTAAGATTTTTAATGAAATTTGGAGACCATAATCTGTAGACGATTTCCTTTAATTCTTCTTATATGTACAGTAGCTAAAACAACTCTGTGCATACTTTGTGGGAAACAATATGAGACCATGTACGATAAATTTTGAGGGCTGTCACTAGTCACACCTGTCGACCCCCACCTGCACAGATAGTTGTTTTAGCTACTGTACATTATGTCTATTAAAAAATGAAACATTGTCAGAAAATCTTGGATAATATGGTTGAAAACTTGACAGAACTATGCCATCGACTGTCCCCTTTCAACACATAATTTACACAGCCAAGATTTATCAAAGAAATTCACTTATTGAAAACAAATGTTTGTTAGGTTTTTGCTGTCACTGATTATATTTGGACGAGACTTGCAAGAGTTTTATTGGTGATCCTTTTTAAATTACCGGTGATTTTCAGACCCATATCTTTGAAGACCAACTGTGTTACTAAAACTGAAAAAACAACTTTAATGATGTATCCCTTAGTATGGTTTAGATTCAGTCATATGTTCTTGCAAGGTAAAACTGTATAATGCCAGGGTTCTCTGTCATTATAAACATTCCATTTTAACACATGTGGGTGGGGGGAGGTTGAGTGGGGTGTGGGGAATTCTTAGCCTCCAGTTTAGGGTTAACGATCAACTCATCTACTGTATAATATGCCTATGGCTTGTCCATCTCTTTCTTTGTCATCATCATGTTCTTGTGCCTCTACTGAGCTCTACTGTATTTAGATTTTAAAGAGATACTAGTTCTATTTCACCTTTTTATTTTCATGTTTCCATAGATGATCAGTAGCTAACCAGCCAACACATGAAACTGTGGAAGACATCCACGGTAAGGCCACAAGATGGGAAATCTTCTCAATTAACTTAAGAGGATAAGGAAGACAGTGATGAAGCTATTAGTAATGATGATGGGGAGAGTGAAAGTGAAGGATCATGAAATGACATCTTCTTTAAAAATTTAAAGGTTAGCTATTTCTTCAGTGCCATCCATAAGCTTAATAGCTTTACAGTATTGTTGTATTTTTTCATAGAAATTCTGTCTAGGCTTAGCACTTGGTCAAGAATTCTTCATTCTACTTCTCTGCTTACAGTTATATAGAAATGTTATAGCTAGTACTGTAAAGGATTTTAGTATAACTAGAGAATTCTCCTCTTCACTGGGTGGTACCAGTCGAGTGGATACAACACTCGCCTCCTGTTCCAGGGGTCGGTAGTGCCATTCCCAGGCACTCCTAGTTCACCCAGTTGTAATGGGTACCTGAATTCACAACTTAGGGAACTGAATGGGGTCGAGAGCAGTACCGGCCATGCTGCCTCCTTATATACTGAAGGCTTAGTATACAGTGTGCTGCATCTTCACTGTCCCTAATGGGCAGACATGCCTATGGAACCCACTTTCACCTTTTTTTTTATCAGTAAGTAGTACTGTACTATGAAACTAGCTGACAGTTAGGTAGGTGTTGACAAGTAGTCAACTTTACTAGAACACAGTGATGATAATTTTTATGGTCCCTTTACTGTAAATTTTCAAACAACATTTTTGTATACTGTTATTTCCAGTCAACGTTATTAGTTGTTAACAATATAGCAAGATGAAAGTTTATGCTCTATAAATCTGTTTTGCAAGAGGGACAATTTGTCCTTCACTCTTAAGGGGCCACTTACGACTGTTCACTTGTGGGTGTTTAACCTCTGATAGCGGATGGGTCAAAAGTACCGCATGAAGGGTAGTACAGGTACTCTTGAAGTTCAGACCATGCGCAATGAATAGGTTAAGTACATCATTGTGATCTGACTCAATGTATAACATTATTGGGGAGAGGAGCACTTCCTTCAGATTAACAGAAGCCAACATGAACTGACAACCTATTTGGCATTGAAACCCAAATAAAGGAATCAAGAACAGATCATACATTCATTTATTAAATTACAGTAAGTATAAACAGATGTGAGAAAAAATAAACCAAATTCATTCATGAAAAGGAGACATAACCAGATTTACCCACTGAGCAACTAAATGACACATGGTTCAATATTTTAGTGACAAAAGTACACACAGCCCTATGTTTACTTGTGCCAACCAAGGAAAATATATAAAACTAAATATATATAACAAATGGTAGATGACAGCAACTCTTCAGTTCTTTGGAAAGCTGATTATGATAATTAATGGAATGCATATTTTCATGAAAAAGCTCTTAAGAAAATACCAAAGATGCTTTAGTTTACATTACCTAAACAAATGCTATCATCAAGAAATACAAGAGTTAAATGAAGCCTAAACATATGTGACTGAAAAGCTTCAATAAGATAAGTTACAAAAAATAGTTTACAATAGAGTATTAATTGCATATACTATATAATGAGAATTCACAAGTGTTTCTAAGGTAGAGTTGCCGATGAGATCACAGCACAGGAGTCAGGAAAGTTTTAAATACAGTACCTTAATTTACTTTCTTCTGGGTACACAGTACAAGTAAAAGGTCTCTCTGGTAGAGGGTAAGATATAATTTACAAAAAGGTTATTTTTTTATAGAAATTAACTATCAATTTAGTTTGTGGAAACAAATAAGTCATCAACTCTCTTGATATGTTTGTGACTTAAATATTTATCAGAAACAAGAATTCAGGAAACATTTTATGTACACAATACATAATAAAATTCCCTCTAAAATTATTTATAAAATATATATTTCACAAATACTTTATATTAAAGGCAAAAAAACTAAGTCTAGTTTATCCCACAAAGATTTTTATGTACGGTGATGTTTTGAACCCTCGACAATGTACAATATATTCTTCTTAGTTCACAGTTCATCTGAAAGTTATTATGACAATTGAGAAGGGGATAAGAGTAGACCAGAAAAGTACACTCAAAAAGAACAAAGTATAATATTTGCTTAAAAAAATATTGCAATATATCCCACACTGGGCACACATAATTGTGTTCAACTTTCTGAAAGTTGTAACGACGAGACCAAATTGGTGAAGATGAAGGAGTAGGTCAGAAAACTACACTCAAAAGGGGAAAACAATATTTTTACTTAAAAAAGTATTGTAATATATTCCACTTTGGATACACCTAATTGTATTTACATTCTTATCCATTTACCCTGCCCATGACTTTAGTTGGATATCAAATCCACATTGGGAAAAAATGCCCTGAATTGAGTTTCCACTTCATATATCTCTGGCTGGTATGCAAAATAGTTTCAAATCAATCTCAACTACTTTCCCTAAACTTTACCTTTTGAGACATTTAAAAAAGTTTATTTGTATATATATACTATATATATAAAGGATAAACTTCTGTAGGTAAAAAATATTTGCCAAGGACTTGAATTTATCTAACCGGGTAATAGTATATCGAAGGTCCCGTCAAATAAAGTCATTCATAGTAGTTGGGTATAGAAGCCTTTCTTGTATCCTGAGAACTGTCAATATATTTCTTAGGACAGTGAGAAAATATAGCATTTCGTTTCTGAAATACCACAGCTATTTTACGTTTTTTACTGAAAACTCGTTCAAAACATTTTTCAGACTTGTATATACAGGAATGGCTTTTATATCATATTTCCAATTGACTACAAAACTTTGTTGACAGTTACCGTCGATATGTCTCCAACAGACAGTAACTAGGCTAACGTGCTCGTGGCTCCATACCAAATATTTACATTCCTAGTGTGAGAGAAGATAGTGCAACTCAATTATAAAGCAAAGTGATGTTCGGATATACAAGCAAGTTCATTATGATTTTTTTTTCATGCAGCAAGTGAAATAAAAATCTGCAGTAATAATTACTAGAAACAGAACGGTACCTTCTCCCAGTGTTTTTATCTTTGAATATCAAGTTTTTACCAATTGTAATACAGTAAATACAGTATGGGTTACTCTTACTTTGCTAACTGTGAGCAACAGTGATCATCATACTCATTACACACCATATTAGTCTGTATAAATATACCAAACTCTTTCCTTCACAATCAATAAACACAGGAACAAACACAGAGATTCTATCTAATGACTTTTTGGTTCATTCATAATCTTATTTTCACACTATTTCTTAATAGTGAAAATAAGATGAACTCTCCCAGCAGTGAAGACGTGTCACTCCAGCAGAGTTGATATAATGAACACATTATATACAGAGAGTTGGAAGATTAACATCAACAATTACCAGCAGGTCATCATTACATTATACTTGGCGTGTTTACAATAAAGATGTACAATTGCACATTCAAAGTCACCTTAAAGCATGCCAACAATATATATATATATATATATATATACTGTATATATACTGGCAGTCATGAGCTTTTTCATATTCAACCAATAAGGTTGCATATGTTTAACTTCAGATAAACTTACATTTTGTAGTTACTGTACTTTTACTGCCAATAATTAAGTTTGACAACAAGTAACTACTTAAAAAAGTGAAACACTAAATGCTGTTCATCACCTACAGAATAAAACCTGTTAAATTCTCACCCAACAAAGGAGATATTTTTTCTTTCCTTACACCCAGTCACATTTTCTCCCTGAATAAGCTATGTTACCATCTTTACAAATAACATGAAGACCCCACCATTCCAACAATACCATATACGGTACCAGTAAATAATAATTTAAATAAAAATAGCATCTATATTCTGATGAATTTAGTCAGTCTATTACACCAATATGAAGAAAATGGAGGCAAAGAAGAATTAACTGACTAAACATGACTGAAATGTTACATACAGGAGGTCCCCGGGTTATGTACGCCCTACTTACGAACATCCGCCGACACGAACGAGGTCCCATACAGTAAAAACTTTAAATTGACAGCACTTTATTTACCCGATGACTTACATTTTACTTTCATTTACTGTATTTTGTTATTCTATTTCTTGTTTTCTCTTAAATTAAGTAATTTTAGATGTACAATATATAAGGACTTGGGCAATGGTATAGTGGGATTTTTAACATTGTTCTGTAAGTACAGTATGCACATAGCATGTGTTCCAACTTAGGTACATTTTAGACTTAAGAATGTCCCCAGGAACAGAACTCGTTTGTAACCCGGGGACTGCCTGTATTCATCAATTACTTCTATCCTGAGCTTTTTCTTTACTAAAAAAATCTAATCCTATACAGTATATATAAACTGTGGAACATAACAGAGCATTCAGAGACGACAAAATTTTTATTAAGTACTAATTTTCAATACCTAACATTGAGTTTCCATTAGTATTAAACCGAAACAAATGTGAAAGTAAAAAAAAGTTCCATCTTTAGCAAAAAATTGTATATTCCTAATTAAGTTTTATAGATTTCATATTCTACAAAATATCTAAAGAAGATTTCACCAACTTTCAGTAAGACATAAACAGGGAGATGTATTATATAATCAATGACATAAACCAAAATACAGTACAGATATATTCACAAAAGATCTGTTTTCCACATGTTAAATTTAAATGCTAGGGTAATTTTTTTCCCATTACAATGTTCAGGAACTTTAAACTTGTTCAGCACAATGGACCTAAAACTCATGCAATACTCTCAAAATGAAGCATCATATCACATGCTCAATCATAATTTCAAATATCAATGACAGAGTAAGCCTAAGCACACCCTGGCTTGATTTCATTTACCTGTTATACATCCTTTGTAACTTTACTTCAAAAATTTCCAAACCATTCTATGATAATTAAATAGCCTTCAACTATACTTAATTTAAACATTTATCTGGATATAAGCTTGGCGACTAAAGATACCATACAGAACTATTATCACATTGAATTCTCACAAAAATTTTCACATGTATTCCAATACAGTATGCCAATAGCCTATATTAACCACTTGAGTGAATTCTCTCAGAAGACTGTACTCCAAGAAAAGGTTTCCACATCACACCACCACCATGCCACAGATGAAGGGACAATACTTGGAAAAAATCGGTCAAACTATACACTTATGAGACTCATTTGCACACACAAATATCTTTACCTCTCGAGTGAATCCATAAACTTTCAGAAGACTTGATTTCATTACCATCCTTGCAGAGGTAAAGACATTTTGTTACGTGGACTTATTATTGTTAAGTGAAATATTAAAACTGCAGGAGAACCAGTTTTATACATCATATTTTATACATACCTTGTCAGGGACGAGTACAGATCAGACTGAGATATTCAAGCTTGAGACCCAAGTTATACAGGAGGCAAAGCCCACAGTGTACACATCTTATCTGCAGAAGTTGAGATGAAGGAGAAATCTGAGGGGTGCCATCGACCAGAGATGACCTTATCTTGGTGTTCTGCCACGACGACACTGGGTAATGGCAGTGTCAGGTCACCTAAGAATGAAGAAAATAAGCACTGTAATGATATCTGGCAACCAATCATTTGACAGGCAAGAGAGAGGAACAAATGCTGTAAATGAAGGATGAAAGAATCTATATATGCCAGTACTGTACAGCTATACAGTATAATAAACTGATAGATTAAACTAAGATAACCTGGTCATCTGTGAAAGAGACACTATACTAATGGTTCTATCATAATTTTAACATCCACTCTTCTACTTTACCTTATCCCTAGGTTCAAGTATCTCTTCTGTTGCACTAAGAGGAATATCCCACATTTTCTTTAAAGTATATTTTCTAAGCAAAATCACAATAGCATTCTAGATTAGGAATACATGTACTGTTCAATAACCATCTATAAATTCTTTTCTGACCCACCTTGAAGATCAGTAAGGACGAGCTTATTGTCATATCCTGCAGTGAGTAGATAATACGCAGAGGGTGAGAATCTGATAGAGCGTACATCTGAGGAGTGTGGCCGGAATGCCTGGATACAGCGGGACCCACGAACATCATATAGAGAGCAGACCGAATCCTCATGACCAGTTACCAGGAGTCTACCACTTGGATCCACACACACAGAAGCCACAGGAGCACCCTGTTCAAATAGAAACAGTTATTTTCTCAAATATATTTTAGATGCACAGTGAACTGAGATGAAACACTAAATCATTGTCCAATGAAAGTTAATGTGAGGAAGTGTGTACAGTATATTGTCACTAAATAGACAATTTCTTAAATTACTGAATGTATAGACAACATGCCTAGTAGTCAGTTTAGTATCAATAATAGATTTTCTATACAGTACAGTACTTGAAAATTTAACTATGGTTAATAACTGAAATGCTTGGGAAAGATTGTTAAGCTCTTTTTAGATGTTAATGTCTTAGGATGAATTGTGCCAAGATTACACAACACTAGTATTAAATTACTGCATCATATTCATTCACATACTGGTTTAGTAGGTGTAGCTGCTGGTGTGATAACATTAACGCAGCCCCTAGTTCGCAGGTCCCAGAAACGCACTGTTCTATCCTGTGAGCCAGACACAAACATGGCTCCTCCCCATGTGTGTAGAGCAAGGATGTGACCTGCCAATGAGTATGGAAATATTAAAAAAAAAAAAAAAAATTCAAATGTTGCAAAATAAAATATGGAGTCTGAATTATACATGCAATTTAACTCTTAAAGTTTTTCTGTTCATAAATTTCCTTACCTTATATAAAGGAACACTATCTGTCAATTGCTTCTTTGTCAATTCTACTGTAATCATTCACTTGCTCATAAAATTCAAAAGTTAACAGTATAGTGCAAACTATACTATTAAACTTAATACTGTACAGTTAAATCACAATAATTTGTAACTATAAAATTTGATATTTTCAGAAAATCCTAGTTTCAAAATTTGGATGAGTATAAATTCCATTAAACAACTACTTTTATGTAAAAAATTGGGGTGAATTCCACAAATACTAAATTATCTTACTCTCAATCATATCACTCTATAATCACTTGATATACCTAATACAGTACTGTACTGCAATTAGTTGCCCAAACTACCGTAAGTAAGAGGGTGGGGGAAGGGATGTCTGTATTCGTCAAAAGTCCAGACTACCGGACATACAGAAAAAGAATGTTTTTATCCCAATACGTATTTAAGATAATATGTTCTTTGGTATAAGTTAACTAACACTGTCTTCACTATGTGTGCCTACTGCTTACCTGTATGTCCTGAGAGAGCTTGGAAGGGGGTACCAGTAGCACAGTCTGTAACATATATCTTGCAGTCTCCAGCACCACCAGAAATGAGTAGAGATGACTTGTTGCTTGTGTCTTCAATGAAGCACATGTCCCGCACAGTTCCATCATGCATTGTAAGTTCAACCTCTTGGCCTGTACAAGAGATATCAAGGTTGAAAATAGTATTGAGTGTTTCTTCTTCATTCAAATATAATTTTTGTCTTTCTTTCTATCAGTTACCCATTCCTTATTATCAAGCAAATGGGTTTATAAAAGCTATGAGAATATCCTGAGGGTAAGGAAGATGAAATAAAATAAGATACATTTCCATCGCTGATACGACCTATACAGGAAGTGTCCTGTCCCATGTTATACAGGTATCTATTTGTCCTGGAATACTGGTAATTTCACAAAATGATCTTAATGCAGGATAAAAGGTTGTAATTCAGGCCAGCAAATATTATGGCTCATACCCTGCTTTATGTTCCTTGACACAACTGGAAGCTGTCCGTGTGAGATATGATACAATTCATAAAATGCCTTTGGAAGCAGAGTTAAAATGCATAAGGAAATTCAGCATATGTACAGTATATAAAATCAAGACAAATGTGTTCCATATTATAGTATAATCAAATTAGCCAAGGCATATGATTTAAAGTTGACAGTGAAATGACTTGTCAAGATACTGGAGAGACAGAGAGAGAGCGCCAAAACACTACAGCACATTACAAATTCCAAGGCATGTGTTTCATATCTGAACTGATTCAGCTGAGGCACACCAAAACATGGCCCAAAACAGTGACCCTACACTGGAAAAGAGGAAGATCAGTTCCTAAAACTACAACCCAAGCAATATTCCCCCTCAATAATATAACCCTAGCACAGAACCTATACTGAAAATTACCAATATAAAGTTCACACAGCACTAACTAATAGCTAAGTAAATTGTCAGATATTTACTCCAATTAACATTTTCAAGTTTTCTTTTATCCACAACCTTTACACCTTCCTTATCAAACACAATGATAGTTATGACTAAGAGGCCTTCTTACATACTACGTATGCTTGACATTCTATTTTCAAAAACTATCCTCGTCTCTTCTTTTCACTAGGTATCACTATTGTTTGAAAATTATGATTCAGGTTTACAGTCACATTGTCACATCTATTACCTATACAATATTCAAGGTAATCCAGAATGTTTGGTCGTAAACTTGTCATTACATATTACACAATCGGTTACATGTGAGTTATTTTCAGCAGGTGGCTAGAACAAATGATCTATAATGGATTTCTATGTAGTAAACTTTATATGGTAAATAAGGAAACCAATAAATTTTATCTTCATAGAAATTTGGGTTTTTGTGAGAGGTAATTTTCACTAACATTACATATACTGTACCAATACAGTATATTGTATACTGTACTGTATAGCCGGAATGGATCAAAATAGTCTAAGAGTACAGTAAATGTTGAATTTATATTGACAACTGCAACAATAATGGCGCATACAAGGGGCAGAAACAAGAGTAAATTTCTAAAGGGGTTCCAATAAGACGAAACAATTAGCCGTTCAATGGAGTGAGTGTGCAAACCAGGTGGTTGTAATACTTGAAGTCACTGTACTGTATATATTATCTGGTCCTTCTAACTCCACTCTTTGTTTAGAGATACAAGTGCTTCAGCTACTTTCTTGTCACTTTCGACAAGTTTCTTACATCAGTCTTCCATACATTTCCCTTTCCATTCACTTGACCCACCCACACAAATAAATAAATGTCTAAAGAGGCAAAATAACCACTGGCTGTAGTTATTGGTTTATAGAGAACATTACACTATTGTTGAATAAATCATCTATACCATAACATAATATCTTTCTTCTTCTTGCTGGTTCACTTTATGACAACAAATCTATCTAAATGAAAAGTTGTTTCCCACCTCTGATTTAGGAAAACACATGCAATAATTACAGTACTTCAGAGTGTCAAGTCACTGCACATCACTTCATCTTCTACTGTTGATGACCTAAGAAGAAAAGCATAAAGCATCACAGAGGACTTCCACATGCTAGTTTAGCTGTTACATAATGGAAAGGATTTGCTTGTTATTCCTGTCACTACTCACCTTCAGTACAGTAAATTTGTGTACAGTATCCAAGTAAGGTGTTAACTGCAACTATAATCAATTCATACTGGGACTTGACTCCAGTACAGTACTAGAGAGCATTGGTCCCAGGTTATTACAGTTGCAATATTTTTACGCAAACACTTCGTAACTATCACCCATACCTAGTTTGACAATATCACCAGTCATTAAGACACTATGTATGGTACTGTATTACTAACAACAACATCTCAATGTACTAACACTACTGCTCCTATGTAAAACGGCATAAAGCTTGGAAAGAGAAGCCTACTTTGCTAACTTCTAGTGTAAATTGTCCGGCTGTTTGCTCGTGTTCAGCGGCCATGCTCGTCTCTCATAAAAAACAAGATAGTACAACCTTGCTCTAATGTACACAGAATAAAATGTATAAATTATAATTACTACACCATATCCTTGTTAGATTTGCTACCATTGTTACTCCATCTCAACTAAACAGATGAATCAATAAGGAGGAACAGATGAAGGAAACCTCACAAAAATGTACAGCAAACAAGATCATGATAACTATAATTAAAACAAGAAAAAGAAACTGCAATAAACCCATTCATCATCAACACACACAGAAGAATACATAGTTTTTTTTTTACTGTGTTTGTCATCAGCAGTGACAACTCTCCTCACTTCCCATATCTGTATCTTGCCAGCATTTGCCATAAGCATCCTCATGTTTACACACACTTTTCTAAATGAATAACTTGTTCAAGCTTAAAGCATGTAAGAAAAGTGACAGGGTGAACAGAGAAGATCTGAACAGAGATACATAATAAAACAGAGGGTAGGGAAGCCTCTCAGGGCAGAATGGTTGTATGTAAACAAAAAAGACAGATTGCTCAACAGTATTCACGGCAGCTTGAATTAGAGTACGGGTACTGCTTATATGCTAGCTAGAGACAATGTTGTAGAAACTGGTAAATAAAATAATAAATATTGGACAGTGTGTCAAAAATACATGTTGATCTTTTTTTCTTCCTACACTCCCCCCACAAATTTGGATATCTTTTATTCATTCACTTCATCTAATGCATTCTGAAAACATGCACAATTTGTGGAACATTATGCATCTAAGCCATCCACATATACAGTATATGATAAAGGAGCCAAGAGTAACAGAAATCTAGGCATGTGTATGAAAGGCTGTCTGGTACACTTTTCATCACAGCAAAAATCTAAACTTTAGGGGGAGAGAGAGAGATTCAAAAGTCTTTAATGGGGTTACGTTGTCAGACGGGGCACAACACTCAACACAAATTATGTGAAAGATTATAAACTTAATTCTTTAGGGATATGTAAGAATTTTTTATCAACCTTCAATATGGCTATTCCCCCCCCCCCCCACACATATCACCATCCCTGCTAAGTGCTCTCCCTTATGTTTCAGTCCATCCACAGTTTCTATACCTACAGAAAACAAACAAAACTCTTCAAAAATAATAGAAAAAAATGAGTAGGTACTGTACTTGCTATCAAAGCTTTACTATGGACTGTACAGCTTATATATATTTATAATAAAAATAAGTACTGTATTACCATAACCATGATTTGATTGAAATAAAGGATTAATGACAAATACAGTAACTGCCTAAAACTTTAATCTGATCCACAAGAGAAATAAAAAGGTATATAAAATAAATAAGAGGTGGGGTGAGTATATCAAGGTTGTACTATACATGCTCAATTATGCTAGTGAAGAAGTTATAAAAAAAACTCCAGTTGTGAGTTACATAAGGAAATATAAAAAAGATATAGCAGGATCTTACTCTGAGAACTTTCATCTTCATCACTGTCTGTTAAGTGGAAATATTTGTAGTATTAGTAAGAGAACAACATCTGGTCATTATACTTGAATGCAGCAACATCTGAGGTACCGATTACTGTACACCTACGATATATATTACTGTATATTCTTCAGCTATCATTACCTCCACTACAGTACTACAGAGACAAGACTGACTGTTACGAACCATCCATATTGCACGAGTCGGGGTTGAATCTCATGAGCTTAACGGTTTTGTCGTTGGAACCGGTGGCCACCAGGTCACCGAGGGGACTCCAGGCCAGGCAGTAGATAGAGCCTTTGTGATGCTTAGTGCGCTTGAACAACACTGTTGGCTGATAGGTAACGTGATCCACTCTGTGTGGAAGACATTAGTTGTTGTAGTCTCAGCACATCTTCCCTATGGTTGTTTTAGTTAAAAGTTGTATTGAATACTGTACAGTACAGCAAGCTCAACAGCTACAATATCTTTAACACATGACAATAAATATTAATAAGTACTGAAGTAGTGTGTGTGTGTGTGTGTGTGTGTGTGTGTGTGTGTGTGTGTGTGTGTGTGTGTGTGTACATGTGTGTGTACATGTGTGTGTGTTACTGGACCAATTGATTGTAAAGCAACCAATATGCCTGGTTATAGACTAATGGTCTGAGGGCTACATGAGGCCCTCAGGGAGGTTTCATATGGCTCTCGAAACTACTTTATATGTGGATTATTACGTAATGTTTCTACACTTATCCTGATTAAGGTTAATGTGTGGCCCTCATCACACAGTTGCCCATCTAATGAGGCTCACTTATGACATTGATTGAGCACCACTGCTCTACAGTATGGTGGTGAAATGAAAAACAATTACAACAGAGATGATGCAGTGATGTATGTTTTAAGTGTCCACATTATGTACAATATTGTTTGTGACTTTATACCATACTGTACCAACCTGAGGTCGGATAACTTGGGGTAACTGCAGATACGGAGAGTTTTGGAGTTAGAACCAACAGCATAGAAACGGCCGGATGGGTGGAACTCGGCACAACGCACGGCTTGGACATCTTCCAGTGCCGTGACTGCCAGGAACCTTGGCTTGGCTTCTCCATCCTTGTTACCAGTCTGGAGAAACAAAATTACTAATTAGAAAAAAGTACAATAAAGTATTATCTAAACTAATATTTTTACAGCACAAAAAAAATATATATTTATATATACTGTACTATATATATACTATATATATATGGCTTTCAATCTGTCATGAAAATAAAACACACTGCTTTATGCAGTTGTCTTTTAGATCAGAGCATAAAATACTGTATCAACTTGAGAGAGGAGTACTGTACCACCACATAATGCTTTACAATGACTGCTTCTATTCTGCCACATAATTACTGCACTACAGGTATCTATAAAATCCAATTTGAATTACTGTATCAGAAAGGCTAAAAGAGAAAACAGTGACAATGAGTGATACAGCTCTATACCTTATAAGTCTGCTTAAGGGGCTATCACACTGTGCACATTCCTCAGGAGAATATGGCTATACAATACTGCTGTTCTCAAATTTTTCATCTGAAAATTGAAATATGAGGAAAATGGAAAGTATGGGAGTTTCAGGCAAATTGCGACTGCATTTTGGGTCCAATTGAGGTTCTATATTACTGTACGTTATACATGTATATAAAATACAGTTTTATGTGGTTCTAATGCAAATGTATTATCATTAGAATATTTTTTATACACACATATAAAAATTACAGATACGACAGCATTACATTTGACTTTTGTTCATTACCATTGAGTGTGAGGCAGCATGATTCTCAAGCCTCACTAATTACTTGGACAAGGGACTCAGAAATTTTTAGCTGATGGAGGCTCTCCTTAGTCTATTGGGACATGTAAGGAAAGTTTGAATGGTGATTTTCCTATGGATACAGCACAAAGCTTTTGGACGACCCACCATATTTGTCAGTGTTTTGTTCTGTGCGACGGTGATACTCGAACAACGTTACAACTGACTATGTGATTGGAAAAAATGTTCTTCTGATCAACAATGACGAAATGAGAACCAAGAACGGCAGATGTTTTACCCAGTGTGATAACTCCTTTACTAACTGATAATTCTGAAGCTTTAATGTGATTCATCTGTACCAAGAGGTGGGTTATGACAGTTCAGTTTTTGAGACAACTCATGGGAAATAGCTATAGTGAGTCCTCAAGGAAAACTTCCTCGGTGAGTGTTATCACAAATGGCTTACGATTGACGACCGAACCCAGGTTGACACAAATTTTTTTACCTATACAGTATACTTTAAAATGGGTAACTTAAACTGACCAAGGGATTTTTCCTATGAGAGACCTACCTACGTGTTATGACACATATGGTTTACACATTAAATCCACCACCCACAGCTTACCTTGGCTGGGTCCTCCATAGTGCCCATCTTGACGTGAGTGGTGAGGCAAGAGGAAATCTAACTAGACACTCTTAACAAATACACTGACGCCACAACTCCACCACCTGCACCGACTTTCCTGTGGCATTCACTCGAAGCACAGCACTGGTGTACAAGGCGTTCACTGACACTACGACACTCGCCCCTCCTTCCTGCCGTGTTCACTTGGATTCTCTAGAAAACTGTTTGCTGCTGTTCTTTAGGGGTGACTGAGGCCGGCCACGAAGGGCACAATTCCTACAGCTGTCAAAAAACGTCAGAATCATAAATTGCGTTTGTCGAGAAAGTTGTATTAAAGGTGTTTCAACTTGTTGGCTTTCACTGTTCCTTGTCACTAAGACTTTCATGAACATCTGACCTAAAAAAAAGTCTTATCAAACACTTGTTCACAAACCAACACTCATAAACCGTGACTCATAAACCAAGACATCTAAATAAGAACTCATAAACCACAATGACTCACAAACCACAACTCCAATAAATAGTGACTCAAACCACACAGGTACAAACACTGACTCATAAACAACAATAACAACAACAAACAACAACTATAAACAGACTAATTAAAAAAACCCACATCTACTACAAGATGACGACCGACTTTAGCCACAATGGTCATAAAATGGTTAATACAGATCCTCTTATGGTGCTCCCTCTATTATGCTTGCGAGGTCAAAAGGTCAAAGTCAACACGTATTTACAGTACACTTCCGCGGCCGACTTGTTTACAGAAACCTCCTCACTAGCTGTCAGACACACACCACAAAATAACCTAACTACATTATAAACAAGATTGCTTTATCCAACACCTGTACCCTCTCTCTCTCTCTCTCATTAGTAGTACTGGGGTCCATTAGTAGTACTGGGGACCATTAGTAGTACTGGGGTCCATTAGTAGTACTGGGGTCCATTAGTAGTACTGGGGTCCATTAGTAGTACTGGGGTCCATTAGTAGTACTGGGGTCCATTAGTAGTACTGGGGTCCATTAGTAGTACTGGGGACCATTAGTAGTACTGGGGACCATTAGTAGTACTGGGGACCATTAGTAGTACTGGGGTACTCCATTAGTAGTACTGGGGGGGACCATTAGTAGTACTGGGGTCCATTAGTAGTACTGGGGACCATTAGTAGTACTGGGGACCATTAGTAGTACTGGGATCCATTAGTAGTACTGGGGACCATTAGTAGTACTGGGGACCATTAGTAGTACTGGGGTCCATTAGTAGTACTCAGTTATTGTAGAGTACTGGGGACCATTAGTAGTACTGGGGTCCATTAGTAGTACTGGGGACCATTAGTAGTACTGGGGTCCTAGTACTGGGACCATTAGTCCAGTACTGGGGACTGGGACCATTAAGTACACCATTAGTAGTACTGGGGTCCATTAGCAGTACTGGGGACTATTAGGACTGGGGCCTATTAGAACTGGGGCCTATTAGAACTGGGGCCTATTAGAACTGGGGCCTATTAGGACTGGGGCCTATTTGTACTGGGGCTCGGTTGGCCGGTGGGACTTTGACCATCTGGTATATACGCCTCCCACAACCCATTACTGTCCCAACCACCAGACGGCCGCTCTACCCCACACACTTCCGCCACCTGTATCTGTCTGTCTGTCATCACCACACACACACACACACACCGTAACACCATCTATTCTATACTACGTGGAAGAGACAGCTCCGTTACGTGGCAATTTCCATAAACTTTACACAAAACCAACTCGAGAATCCTATCATAGTACTACATATAATGGAGAATTAACAAGACAAATCTGATTACAATGAGAAATCTGCCGAGTCTAATCCCAGTTTAAAGTGGTATATAGTATTTGTTAAGTATTTATATGGTATAGGAGGGGGTAGATGTACTTATTAGCGGGGGAAAATCAATACTTGGGAGTTGGGGTGGGTGGGGTGGGGTGGGGGAGCATGGTAGGTGGGGAATGGGATGGGGTGGGGTGGTGTAGACTCTTAAAAGTTAGTAAGATAAATATTCCTCGTAAATGGAGACACAAGAATACACTTAACTAGCTGACTTATACTAAAAAAAAAAAAACACCCCAGAAAACAACAGCATTGAAATTACACTAAGATTAACTAGATACGTTTTACTCAGCACCAGTCACAGTAAGGAGATAAAATGGCGAATATTTGGATCTATTATCAAGATTTGTCTGGTGTTCAGTGGGTGTTTCTTGACGAGGTAGATAACTGGGTGCTATTTGGGTGCTATTAGGGTGCTATTAGGGTGCTATTTGGGTGCTATTTGGGTGCTATTGCTAGAGGTATTAGTCGTGATTTTGCTTAAGTTAGTTAATAAAAAGCATTATTTCATGTTCACAGTAAGTAACAGACAGGTTAAATTAATGTGTGCACGCAACAAGGTCTACACGCACCATGGTCTACACGCACCAAGGTCAACACGCACCAAGGTCTACACGCACCATGGTCTACACGCACCATGGTCTACACGCACCAAGGTCTACACTCACCATGGTCTACACGCACCATGGTCTACACGCACCATGGTCTACACGCACCATGGTCTACACACATCACCCCATCTACAGTTTTAACTATGAATCTGTTTTTTAGTCACAGTATCAACTAAACAATACCGACCCGTTCAATGTATTGTCTAATGACTCCCCAAACTATCTTTACAAAATAGTTAAGTGTATATATAGGATAATAAAGGCATAATTTACGATTCAACAGAGAAATATATTAAGTGACTAACTGATGCTAAAGGTACGATAAAAAAATAAATAAATAAAATAGCGAGACATTTTCATTGTGCTAAGGTATCTAAATGACCAGTTGTCCAACCCCTCCCCCCCCCTCCCCCAGTCATCACCAAGCTGGGAGTTTAACATGATGTAAGCTGCTCGTCAAAGTTAAGCTGTATCGTGCAGTAATAAAAGGGCGAGAGACAGCGTGTGTCATCATAATCATGCAGCGGCGTTTGAACTGGCTGGCTGGCTGGCGGCTGGCTCCCTGTATGATCTTTTGTACTACACACACACACACACACACACACACACACACACACTAATATCTCCAATGATAGTGTCGCCTCGGAATATCTGAGCGTGTGAAGATGGAGGACTTTCCCAGGAGGAGGAGGAGGAGGCACCAGCGTCCCACTTTTCCCTCCTCCACCACTACCAATCACACTTTCTCATCCGTCTAACCTAACCTAACCTAACCTAATCTAACCTAACCTAACCATCCCCCCTATCATAAATATTAACCTTACCTACCTCCCTTACCTTAATTTTACCCCTTGAGTACGATGATTTAACCCCCGCGTGAGTTAGTTAACATACGTCCTCACATCTTAGTTTAGAAGGGAAAATAAACGTAGGAACTTCTGAGAATCCATTTTTGTGTCGTAGTTTAAGTGAGACAGATGCGTTCTCACATCTCCAATTAAGGGAAAAAAAACTCATGCAGGATCTTCTGAGAAACTGGAGAAAGCCGAGGGGCCTTTCCTTCCCGGGCCTTGGACACACACACACGGCAGCTCAGGTAGGTGTGTGTGTGTGTGACTGAAAGGTTTGGCAAAATTAAATGCTTCTTTGTGGTGACTTTCCCGCTTCCTGGTTCTATCTATCAAAGTAATGTTTAAGCGTCCTCTTAAAAGGTTCACAGATAATAAAACACCAATGATTTTTCGGTCCCACAGACAACAGACAGACAGACAGACACAGGGAAAGGCCAGAGCGACTCAAGAGAGGTGTATAGATCGTCGGCTTGAGTACCTATGGCTATAATAATAATAATAATAGATGCGACATTTTAACAACAACAAAATAATAAGAGACAACATTAACACCTCCATACCCCCCCCCCCGAAAATCCAAACTCCGAGTCCACGAACGAGTACAATAATGGTCACCGCACAAATTCGCTTTCTACACTTGTGATGATACGATTATTATTTTTTTTAAATTACGTTTGTTTAATTTATTACCAAACGTTCCTGTTTGAGATTTAACATGGTAAAAAAGGGACGAGATGGTACGTAATAACGAAGCCATTGTGTAATTTGTGGACACCCTCAGTAGCAGACGCGCTGGTAGTGGTGGCGATGGGAGGGCAATGGCACGAGGAAGGGAGGGGGGGACTAAGGGAAGGGTGTGGGGGAGGAGAAGAAGAGGTGGAGACGAGGTAGGACTTCCCGACTAAGGAGGGAGGAACCATCATCATCTCTCTGGGTGTGTTTGTTGTGTGGCTGGAGCGACTGTGTTTGTTTACATTTTTTCGCGCCAAATATTTACCCACCCAAAAAATCCTTCCTGGCTATAAACATGAAGACGGCTGGTGAGACATAACTTCGTCGACGGGAAAGCTACTGGGTTAGATGAACGATTCTCAAGAGACTCCGTGCAATTAAAGCTTTCAGTCTCTAGCTGTGAGGTTAAGCAAACATCATAGCTTTTAGTCGGTGTAGAGTCTCGACACAAGATTGACGCCATTTTGTGAAGTGAGTGGATACTTACTCATGTCTACAGGCAAGGGGGAATTTAACATAGGAACCAAGGTGATACCCCATTAACTTTCTGTAATGGGGCGGGGGAGGGAGGAAGGGGGTTTAAGGGGAAGGAGGAAGGGAGGAGGAAGGAATAAAAGGGGAGGAGAGGAAGAAAGGGGAGGGAAGAAGGAATAAAAGGGGAGGAAGGAATAAAAAGGGAGGGGAAGAATAAAAGGGGGGAAGGAATAAAAGGAATAAAGGGAGGAAAAGAATAAAAGGGAGGGGAAGAAGGAATAAAGGGAGGGAAAGAAGGAATAAAGGGGAGGGGGAAGAAGGAATAAAAGGGGAGGGGGGAAGGAATAAAGGGGGAGGAAGAAGGAATAAAGGGGAAGGAATAGGGGGAAGGAATAAAAGGGAGGGAAGGAATAAAAGGGAGGGAAGGAATAAAAGGGGGAAGAAGGAATAAAAGAGGGAGGGAAGAAGGAATAAAAAGGGGGGAAGGAATAAAGAAGAAGAATAAAGGAGGAGGGAGGGAGGAGGAGGAGGAAAGGGGAGGGAGGAGGAGGAAAGGGGGGGAGGAAAAAGGGAGGACAGAGGACAAAACATCAATAACATACCTACAACAACCATCTTAACAACACCTCCAGTGATTAAAGGCAGTACACTTACGGTCATTCACACGGTAAATTAAGTCAAGGGTAATTAATTCACTTCCTTCCCTCCCTCTTTCTGCTTCTCCCTCCTCCAGTCCCCTTCCTCCCCCTCTCTCTTCACCTCCCCTTCCTCCGTACACTCATCTTACCCCTATGGTAATTAACGTGACAAGGTGTACAAGCAACCATAGCCACCACAACACCAGATCAACCAACCCAAACCAACCACAAATTTGACGCCCCTACAACCACACTACTTTTACTACTACTGCTGCTATTACTATTTTTACTACAGCAACTATTACTACTAGACCGCTGTTGCTACTATTAATAAAAAAACAAGGGGTGTCTTAGAAGGCTGAAGGCATGTTAGGGTCATCATACAATACCAAATCTTCAGTAAACCGCCTTAACACACACACACAACACAACACACACACACACAGGACACACACACACAGGAAATACAGTGTTTTAACGTAGACAGAACATGAACCAGCAAGCCACTGAACCACACTACCACCACACGGGTTCACAAGGTACAAGTGAACCACGAACCAATGACTTCACGAAGACCATACTAGTACCGAAGTCAATGAACCACACATTATATTGGCGAACCGGGGCGATATTCTAAGCCTAAGGTCACCAAACACTAGGACCACTTAAGTGAACCGCGGAATTCAGAGTTAACGAAACAATAACGAGAAAGTTTAAGACGAGAGGTAATTCGTCCACCCACCACCACTCTTACACCAACACTGAGGTGAACCGAACCATTTCGCTACGTCACTCCCACCCCCACACCCACCCCCACCTTCCTCCCCGCTGGTGGTGCTGCTGCCACCATCACCTCCACCATACTTCCGACACCTTCACTATTACCACCACCACCACTACTATTACCACTACCTCCAATTCTACCACCTCACCTCCACTTCCCTTTCAACACCACTTCTACCACCTCACCACCACTACACTCCTGCACCAACCACACCCCTCCCCTCCCCCCCAAACATTACCATTACCAACATGCCAACTGAACCAACTAGATACGGTATCTTCCAAACGACTTTGTAAGAGCTACACTAACTAATAATTTTTGGGGGGAACCACAGTAATTTTCCTCAGTCCCGTCGGAGAGTTTCAGAGATACTATCGCCTCTTGGGAGACACAGGGACGATTATTTGTCCTCTGAAGGTGACCAATGTAGAGGGTAGTTTGGTTAAATAAGTGCTTGCTTACTTCCTCTTTTAACTGGAGGTTGTGTGAATGTATCTAACTGGCACTTACTGGAGAAGCAAGAATGTCCCAAAATGCTTTACAACAGTTAATTCAAACCCGTGAGAATGTGTCTATCTCGTCAACTAAAAACATGAAAACAATGGTGGCTGCTCAAGAGATTACAGCGTTCTATATTCCCCATGAGAATAAAAGAAACGAGAACGCATTTAACTGAATCACTTAAAGTTACGACACAAGAATGACGACGAAATCACACCATGACCCTTAACTAAATACCAGTTAGGGGATAAACAAAAGACAAACGCCAGAGTAAGTTAATGAAAGGTAATTAGCAATCCGTCTTGGTGGCAGGGAAACGCAATAACAACAACACCGCTAACGGAAACTCAACGTCCACACTAGCCAACACTCCTCCCACACTATACCGATCATGGAGACCTTCGCTATGCCAATAAGATGATCAGGAAGGAGTGAATAAGCCAACACGAAAAACAGGAGGAAGTCAATAATGCTCTGCAAGACGTAACACCCAAACGTGACGCGTGCAATGCTTCCTAGACACCAGCTGACTCACGTCGTGTTTACTCGCGCCCGTTTTCTATAAATATACTTTGTTTTCTTTTTTACGGGCGAGAGGACAGCGGAAGGGAGACTCTTCCTTCCTTCCTTCCTTGTTCTCACGATGTACCGGTGGAGCAGGTTTAAGATGTGTATGTGCGTGTGGCGTAAAATAATGTGAGAAGTAATACGTTAGTGTCAGGAGAGAGAGAGAGAGAGAGAGAGAGAGAGAGAGAGAGTATAAGCTGGCAGGGCAGTTCATTGTTCAAAAAGAATCGCTGTGTCACTTACGCACAAAAAAGTCATTAATTTTACTTACATCCACCAACCTCTCCATCTATTCACCTATCTCTACCTCTCCATCCATCTATCTATATATCAACCCACTTATCTATACCCATACATCTATCGATCTCTCCATCTATCCACCTACTTATCTCACCACCTCTCCAACTATCCACTTATCCACTAGGTCAAGTCTTACCTTTAACTGAGTGATTCCTGATGTGTGATCCAGGAACCGTACGTGTCCAAGAAGGAACCGTACGTGTCCAAGAAGCATCTTAGTAAGGGTTCAGCGAGAGAGAGAGAGAGAGAGAGAGAGAGAGAGAGAGAGAGAGAGAGAGAGGAAAAAGATATAAACAAGAAATAACAATAACAAACAAAAGAACAAAAAGAAAATAAGCGAGAAAGAGAGAGAAGAGAAACTAACAAGGTCACCCCCAGCCCTGCCCTCCTGATCGTGACCTCTCTTGACCCACTAACCTTGACCCCATGACCCGGCACTCACCCTCATAGGTCGCCGCCTGACCCTCTCGTCCACCAGGAGTTGGAGCCTTACCTGCAATAATAACAACATTGATAATAATGATAATAATAATAATAATAATAGTAATAATAGTAGTAGTAATAATAATAATAATAATAATAATAATAATAATAATAATGATGGTAATAATAATAGTAATAATAGTAATAATAATAATAATAATAATAATAATAATAATAATAATAATAATGATGGTAATAATAATAATAATGATACTGGAAATAATGATAATGATATTGACAATAGTAATAATGATAACAGTAATGAGAAAATTACTAATGATAATAATACAATAAAAATAATAGTAATAACGATGCTAATAAAAACACTAATAATAATAATAATAATAATAATAATAATAATAATTAACAGGCCCTTAAATGTTAGAATTGGGCCAGAGTCCTAATAGGCCACCCCAATTAACCTGACTTAACTACCTATTCTTAGTGGTTAAGTTAGGTTAGATTGGGTTAGGTGAGGTTAAGTCAGGTCCCATTTTCTTTGATTTTTGCGTGTGTGATGTGTGACGTCAGACCCAAATGCCTGACCTGTGCCGAGATACAAACAAACAAACAGAGAGAGAGTGCATTAGTCACCACGTGCAAATGTCATATAGTATTTTAAAGACACGCACAAAATACATGGTAACACCCTGATAATATATACACAGGTAAGGTAACGTTAATAAGTTAGGTTAGGCTGGGTTAGGCTGGGTTGGGTTAGGCTGGGTTAGGTTAGGTTAGGCTGGGTTAGGTTAGGTTAGGTTAGGCTGGGTTAGGTTAGGTTAGGTTAGGCTGGGTTAGTAGGTAAGGTTAATAAGTTAAGGTAGGTTAGGTTAGGTTAAGACGAGACTGCAGCCAAGCAAACTAGACCAAAAACCCCTCATTATCACCCCCCTCCCGTCATTAGGAAACGACAAGACACACTTATGAATATACAAGAGAAGCGGTAATAAGAAAGCGGTGTTCCAGATGACGCAAATAATATATCAAATAAATTCTGGCCGAGATTGAGGTCACGAGACGGCGTGCAGAGCACCCACACCCACACACACGAGAGCGAGGGCGGCGTGCGTAACAACACACACCCCAGCGTAGTGAGTGTTTGTAGACGCGTGGCACAGAACAGGTTATCAAAACAGGTGGGTGGGATGGGTGGGTGACGGTCATCCAAACACGGTGACCTTCAAGAGACGACTGGATGATGGGAGTATGAGGGACCATTAGGCAGATCAAGATGTCGTGTGTGTGTGTGTTTGTGTGTGTGTGTGTGTGTGTGTTTATCTAACTCTGCTTTCGGAGGTTATAATAAATAGCCATACTAGCAACCCCCTCAGCTATTAATGTCCTACAAGTAGATGATGATGACATGAACACGAGGGAGGAGGGGGGGCAGGCAGGGGGGTCTGCATGTCTGACGTCTTCATCCAGCAGAGGAAATATAAGGAGTTGGTGGTGTGTGAGGTGGTGGTAGGTTGAGTGAGTTGAGTGTGGTGAACGTTACTGACAAGACTCATCAAGTGCCTAACACGGATATGACTGGTGGGGGGTGGGTGGGGGTGGGTGGGTGGGGGAATGACGTAATGCGAGACGAGGTGATGGGGGAATGTAAAGAGGCAGAGGATACAGGGGGAGGGGAGAGGATACAGGGAGGGAGAGAATAACGAAAGGGAGATGGGGGTGAGGTTACAGGGGAAGAGGAGGGCGTGAGGGAAGGAGGAAAACAAAAACCCCTCTATGATAAACACACACACACACACACACACACACACACACACACACACACACACTCTGTAGTGCCCTATGTTAAATCTTCTGACCAAATTCCCATAAACAAACTCTAAATATTCTACGTGTTGATGTGGGTGGGTGGGTGGGTGGGTGGTGTGGGGTGGGGTGGGGTGGGGTGGGGTGGGGTGTCCTGGTCTAAGACAGCGTCGCCTACCACACCATATAAGGCCATCACAAGCTCACTCAACACCCAGACCACGCCACTAACACCATCATCACTACTACCACCATTACCACGATCCATTTGTATCACATTACCACCACCACCACCACCACCACTACCACCACCACCACCACCACCATCACCACTACTACTACTATTACTGCAGCTCACTTGTTCTACCTGCATTACTATCTCCCCTATCCAACAACTATTCATGTACAACAACCACTACTACCACCATCAATCACCTGTCCTTACCTACACCACCACTACCACCATCAATCACCTGTCCTTACCTACACAACCACTACCACTATCAATCACCTGTCCTTACCTACACCACCACAACCACTACCACCATCAATCACCTGTCCTTACCTACACAACCACTACTACCACCATCAATCACCTGTCCTTACCTACACCACCACAACCACTACCACCATCAATCACCTGTCCTTACCTACACCACCACTACCACCATCAACCACCTGTCCTTACCTACACCACCACAACCACTACCACCATCAATCACCTGTCCTTACCTACACACCACCACAACCACTACCACCATCAATCACCTGTCCTTACCTCACCACCACACCACTACCACCATCAACCACCTGGTCTACCCCAATGACTCACACACGGGGCTACACCTCTCTGTCAAGGTCCTCTGGATTCTTCAAGACCCGTATTCCAAATCTCTCTCTCTCTCTCTCTCTCTCTCTCTCTCTCTCTCTCTCTCTCTCTCTCTCTCTCTCGTTTAAGGGACAGTCTCTGTGATATCCCTGGTTGGAATCTTAATATGATAGCTTCAGTGTGCCAGGAGAGAGTCTGATATCTTAAAGTTGTTTAAAATTACCGTACGGTGTTATTTAAGAATCCCGGTCAGATTCGGAGTGACAAAAAAGTTCCTAAGATCAATTTTCCCGCGTAATTCAAGACGTTAGAACGTACCATACCTGAACGTACCATACCTGGCTACTTTAGGTAAATAACGTACTAAGAATAGCGTAAACATAATATCAACATTACAATGAGACAGTGTTTATAATTCGTTCTGCAGTTACACCTGGTCCAGTGGTTGATGCATTTTGTGAGATGTGGCACCACTGTGTAATGTTCATCCTGAGTCTGGCTACTATTGTGATGTTCCTTAAGAGTTTTAATAACCATGTCAACAAACACAGAGTTGCCACACCTCATAAAACACCCCAGTTACTGTACTAGGTATAAGTGTAAGCAACTGTACCTCCTTGCACTATCAGATAAGAGGAATTATTCATGATAGGAATTCTGCAGGAAAATCCGGGATACACAGTCATTATCATCATCATCATCGTCATTATTATCACCACGCTTGTCTACACACCTCAGCGCCAAACACCACTCGCTTGTTTTGCTTTGTTTTCCCGCCAATGGCATATCCGTCAACGCAATCAACAAACCAGTTTTATATGGTCACAAAGCCCTTATAGAAGTGACGTGTAAAAAATTAAGATAAAAAAATTCAAGTTTAGATATGGGGTTAAGGGACATATAGATGAATTATATTATCCATATGTGGTGTGGGGGGGGTGTGGGGGTGTGGTGGGGGGTGGGGGTGTGGGGGGGGTAGGTGTGTGTGTGTGTGTGGGGTGGGTGTGTGGGTGTGTGTGTGTGTGTGTGTGTGGGTGTGTGTGTGGGTGTGTGTGTGTGTGGGTGTGTGTGTGTGTGGTGGGTGGGTGTGAGGTGGGTGGGTGTGAGGTGGGTGGGTGGGGAGGTGGGTGGGTGGGTGTGGGGTGTGTGTGTGGTGGTGTGTGTGTGGGTGTGGGTGGGTGGGTGGGTGGGGGTGGGTGTGGGTGGGTGGGTGGGTGGAGTGGGTGTGTGTGGGTGTGTGGGTGGGTGTGGGTGTGTGTATGTGAGGGGTGTGTGTGTATGTGGGTGGGTGGGTGTGGGTGGGTGGGTGTGTGTGGTGGAGAATACTGACTAGGGGTTAAATAGTCCTCCATACTTGGTGTTATCTGGTAACTATTTCCGGGTCGCTTATGTGACTGGGTTTTAGCTGGTGAACGCTACCCTAACCTAATCTAAACTAACCTAAACCGAACTAGTTGGCAGACAGGTGGTAATATAGACAGGCAATGACACAGACAGGTGGTGAGGCAGACAGATGGTAATGCAGACAGGTGGTAATGTAAACAGGTGGTAATGTAAACAGGTGGTAATGCAAACAGGTGGTAATGCAAACAGGTGGTAATGCAAACAGGTGGTAGTGTAGACAGGTGGTAATGCAAACAGGTGGTAATGCAAACAGGTGGTAATGCAAACACGTGGTAATACAGCCAGATGGTGAGGCAGACAGTTGGTATTAGAACCAGGTAGTAACAGGGCACACCAGACAGCCAGCTCTCACCCGGCACGTGTTGACTCACCAAACACAAGTCACAATCAAGTTACCTGCCACCTGTACCTCACTCCAGGTGCATTACTACTATTATTATCAGTAGTAGTAGTAGTAGTATAAGCTGATAGCCCCCCCGCCCCCCCCATCAACAGGCATGCAAACATTATCATCATCATTATTTCTGTTTTTGTTATCGGAAAATAATGATGACAATAATAATAATAATAATAATAATAATAATAATAATAATGATAATTATAATAATAATAATAATAATAATAATAATAATAATAATAATAGGAATTTCTATGACGAATTCAATAAAAAATTAAGCACCATTTTATTAAACTATTTATTTACGGTTTCCTTTGTATTTAATTGTCTTCCTGGAAGTCTTAAGGAGTAACTAACTTTCTCAATCTTAACTGCTTATTACCCTTCCCGACTCTCTCTCTCTCCACCCAGTTCATCTCCCCACACTCCTTTCTCCCCTCCCCACACACTCCTTCCTCCTCTCCCCCCACATACACACACTTCCTCTCCTCCCCACCTCCTTCCTCCTCCCACACACTCCTTCCTTCCTCTCTCCCCACCTCCTTCCTCTCCTCCCCCACACACTCCTTCCTCCTCTCCCCCCACACACACACACCCCTTCCTCTCCTCCCACACC